CTAACCCTAACCCTAACCCTAACCCTAACCCTAACCCTAACCCTAACCCTAACCCTAACCCTAACCCTAACCCTAACCCTAACCCTAACCCTAACCCTAACCCTAACCCTAACCCTAACCCTAGAGGAGGTGCTATCACGGTGTGAGTTAGGTGTATCTGCTAAAACCCTGCCTCACTTTGGCAAAGACCCCATCTGACCGAGACGTGCGGAGGGTTGCACCGTAATTTCCGCATGATGTTTCAAATGGAAGTATATTACAGCAAACTTGGGTTTAAGTTGAAATGGATCGAATTCTTTTGATTTATAGTTCGACAAACATTAAGTCACGGATCAAAACTAAAACGGTAATCGTGTCCTTGGAGTAGTAAGAATGTGTGAGTTGTCTGCTAACCTAGTCGCGGAGGGCAAGGTCGCGCGCAAAATGGAAGAAGTCAACGGCACTGAAGGGACAAATATAAGTGGAAGCGTGAAACGATAGGTGAAGATGCCATACCTGCCATTGACGCCAAACTGATAAATGAAATGTGATGCGACCCAGCTTGCAAAGAGCGCCTTCTGATATGGCACCGGAAGTCGGCGCAAAATTGGATCCAGTCCCACCTTGTTCACGAGAGTATCCGGAATAGCCTTCCGCATAACACCTAGTCGGCTGGGCTTGTCATCGAACAGATCCGAATTCTCGAGTTCTTCCTGAAGCTCGGTCAGGTGCCCGGATAACTCATCAGAGATAGCGCTGCGAGGTTTGACTCCCTTGAGTCGGTTGTATTCTCTCCAGATGCAGGAAAACTCATTCGCGGCATTTTCAGTGATCTTCGACTGGATGTCGCGAACATATGATTCGTAGAATTCAGAAGGTTTGCCGTTTTTGAAAATCATCAAGTCGGTGTATTGACTGTCATTCAGGGAGAGACCCGCGAGAACTTCGAGAGACGATGACGTTACGCCACCCTGTTTCTTAATTAGACAAGACCAAATTGTTGGATGGAATAGCGCACCTTGTTAGCACTGGCATCCTTGAAGAGAATAACGCCACGCTTTTCGAGATACAACCGTGCCTCTCGAGTGATGAACAGGTTGGCGCCCTCGACAATATACTTGAAGTGAAGCGCCCCATCTAGGTCGAACAGTTGGGAAACATTAGAGATGTTCACTGCCTCGGGTCGACCTCCACAGGGCACGAAGAGATCTGCTTTAAACCGCAAGTGGGCAGAGTTGCGGAAGTCAGTGCCGTCTTGAACAATCTCCCCACCTGCAAGCATTCAGTACAGCCGAAGTAAAATAGTTGACGACTCACTTGGCAATTTGACATCCTGGTCTTCAACCATGACAAGATACCCCTCCTTGCTGAGCTTGGAGCGATCAAAGTTGGACACAGGAATGCGGAGCTTTGCCAGCCGAATAAGCTCTTGGCGATTAATACCAGCGGGGTCAGCCAGAACTCCACTGCCGTCGATGATGGCAATCGTCCTGTCCGAGCTGAGAAGAATTTCGTCTGCCGACGCATCAGTAAAGTGAACAAGGCATGCACCCCACGGAAAGGAGCGTACTGGAGCCTAAATCCCCATCTGGACCACCTGTCTGCACTTTCGTCACATCCTTCTCTTTCAATCCGAGTGCTTTGTAAATGCCGACCACGTATTGGCGGACCGACAACGATGTCATGCCGTAGGTGTCATGAGGTACACCGCCAAGCAACTCCGCACTCTTCCCGGTCGTAAATGACTTCCATGAGTCCACGCCGCGATTCCTTACATGAACTACGGCCTGTCAGTATACCTCTCCGCTTCATATTTCTCTACTTACTGGCAGCCCAATCCATCATATCCGCGGTGCCCTCTGTCCCACCATGAGTGACAAATTACGCCAGGCTAGAGGAACACGCACCATCAGGTCCGAAGAAGAGGATCTCCGGTTTGTCATAGAGATCGATTATCGGCTCCTTGATGCCAGGGCTATGACCGGGAACGAGCAGATCAATAACCGCCTGGACGTTTGCCTGTGTGTTAGAAATCCTTTACAACGCGGCGTAGCAATGCTCACATCAACATATTTCTCGAAGCAAAGGCGTGCATTCGCGCCAATGCTCGGGAGAATAGTGCCTTTAGCCCCGCCTTCAGGGATGTCCTTATTCTTCAACGACTGAGTAGATGCGAGGGCATAATTCTCGTCGAATCTATCAAATAGTAAGGAAGGCTAGGGGATATATCAACATGAAGTCCCTTACAGCATCCGCTGGTTAATGGAATATTGCCTAGAATCGGTCAATCAAGTGTCACAAAGTCAAAAAGTGGACTCACTCGACGCCTCTTGAGCGGACGATACGGATGCCTCCTCTAGCCACATCCTTAAATCTCACATGGAAGCCGCGGAAGTCAGAGCCAATGATGAAGAAGAGACCAAACGGTGTCTTCGGGTATTCGACTGCTGGCAAGAACGACGGTTCCATTCTGAACGAGAGTGCTACCTTCGTGGGCTGGTAGAAGTTGGTCTTGAGAACATGCCTTTGGACGGTTATATCTCCACGTCCGTCCATGATATGCGACAACTCACTTGTTAAACACAAGGAAGCTCGTGAGCACTTGCTGATCGTGCTCATTTGGCATAGTCCGGCGAATCTTTGTGTACAGTTCCTCGTCTGTGAGTGGGTGATCAACTTGCATGCGCAGGTAGGAAAGGGTAGGTCTAGCACGACTCAGTCAAACGTCGTTGAGCGGAGTGCACTGCGTACCCAAGCCTGGTTGCCTCCTCATGCGAGGGGTAGTGCACCATGGCAAAGTTAATGTACAGTAGGCGGATCTGTGCTCGTGTCAGATGCATAATCCTGGGATAACAGTGTGGTTAGTACCAATTCTGGGTGGGCTTTAATGACATCTTCGATATACTGCCTCGTAAAGGTCTCGTCACGGAATCGCCTCTTGATTTGGTTCAACACTTGCTCGTGCTCAGGATTTGACTCGTCTAAAACATTCTTGAGGGCGAGGTACGCAGCTCCAAGCCGATTGCAGAAGTGTTGGGCGAAGATCCACCCACAGTCTATGCTTGTAAGCAGAAGAAATTGAACACTAATATAGAGCTCACATGCGTATGTTGCTTCTTGAACGGCGTGCGGAACGCCTTCTTCCGCAAAGAAAGGATTGTCGGGAAGGCAGTAAAGGAGAGATGCCTCTTTCTTAACTTGGAAGATAGAATGCTCGATTGGAGGAGCTTGCGAGTTGGGAACGGGATTGAGATACATTGAGACGATGGTCACCCCATTGGCAAATTGTTCTAACAAAAGGTAAGCTTTGACAGTGAAGATACCTTTTTGACTCGACATACCGACGTATTTGCGGGCCGAGTACAGCCCATAGAAGTGATACAGATCCGAGAGGGCGCTGCAGGATGTTAGTTGATTGCTTCTGACTATGTGAGCCCAAGACCCACCTGAAGTAGTGGGATGTACCCCCCATTCTATACCCGATGACGACTCTTCGCTCCCTAGTCTCCTCTACTTCAAACACTTCTATAACAGGTCCGTACCTGGTCTCTACGTTCGACATGACGGACTGATAGATTCCAAGCGTATGCTCGCTAGCTCTCTCTAAGAAACGGGTGTCCGAGACCGTGCGTATGTCAGTGGTGCCGTCGGGAAGCTTCTTTGCAAGTTCGCTTGGGAATTGACAGCGAGTGACGAAGTAGCATCGCAGCTGTTGCCCCGTGGTGGCACTCACGGATCCTTGAGAACGATAGGTCTCCAACCTGTAAGCCTTCTCGACGGTCGAGTTGTCTAGATACATGTTGTCGATGCGCTTTTCGCAGGTCGCACCAGGGCCATCTGTGGCCCTCTTTCCGGGCGGTGATGTGTGGATGAAAACAGCACCCTCAGGAGACTTGTCACTGTCCCCTTCCCTTGTGATCTTCTCCAAGTCGATGACAAGCTTAGCAGGGTCGTGTTTAGTATATGCAAGAAGCTTCGCGCCATACAGAGCCAGAACATGGTCAGAAATGACCTCTATGCTCTCATTTGCAAAGTAGGTGTCGTCTATCCCCAAGTGACTGTGCTTGGTTAACGAGGGAGGACCGAACTTAATGAGTGAACGCACTTGTAGAACCACACGACCTCATTGTTCACTAGCTCGGCTGGGATGAAACCCTTCGAGGCGACATTGTCTTCGACCTCTTCCTGCTGAGCAGACTTTCCGGCGAACTGGTAGTTCTTATAACCCCTGCTAAGGTGTAAGTGGTGTGGATCAGTGTGGCGCGAAGGCAATGCATACGGGAGGTTCTTGATGCGGTTTATGGATGTATCACTTCCCGTCCTGGGGGAAGAGGGAGAATAAGGAGAACCGGGTACGCTCAAACGACCATTATTGGTGAGATGGGCAATGTTGGGATTAGCGAGCTAGACAGTATCAGGGGCAAAACATGGGCATCTTGTTGGATCAACTACGCACCAGAGCGTTTCGCTCAAGGTCGGTTGGTTCTCTAACTTGAGGAGGGGACATTGGGGGAGCAAAGATAATTGTTTGAGGGAGGCTGAACAGTACTTTGGAGTTAAAAGGGATGTTGAATCTGTTCGAGGAGCAGATGTATGCGCTTTTGTAGTTAAGGGGTTGCCCAAAGATCCGGGGTCAGTCGGGACAGGAATGACGAACCACCTAACGTTGTATCACATGCACCGCCCGATGGTCTGCATTGCCTCGGCGGTAGGGAACAAGGCCCGGACCCTCGATGGATGCTGTCCCCTCAAGTGACAACAAGACCCGGCCGTATAAAATTTATATATCGGCTTGCTTATTATTGAATGTTCTTCTGCCTTGCACAGTTCTCTGGAATGCTAATTCCGAACTAGTGTTGATTATCCTGGTGTTGATATCCGAGAGGGGGGCTAGCAAACTGCAAAGGACTTGTCCCCGCCTTTAACGGAACATAACAAGGGCGCACCGCCGAACGCGGGGTAACAAGGAGATGCGTCTCATGCCTGTTCAGTTCGACGCGTCGATTCTATGGAATCACACTCCCCACAAACTCACTCATCTTCCCTGTAGCTCTTTTCACTCCAGGTCACGAGTCACCGTTCCTTAACGACCTGAGCAGTTGTTCTAGCGTCTATGCATCATCTGCCCCAACGAGAAAAAAACGACTGTATTGCTGGTCGTAACAAACCTCATATCCACGGCACGTGTTTGATCTGCTTTCTTTCTTTTTGGCTAATTACAAACTCAAGATCAGGATGGCGCGCGGGTATCTCCGGACGATTGATCGTGATAATGGCCTGATCATAATCTGCAGTTACGTTGCAATTCGAAGTCTCTTTCCTGCTGGACACGGCAAACTTACATCTACTCCCAGAACGTTCATACTATCCTCAGCATGATCTTGCCAGTGTTCTTGTTCGCCTCCATGTCTTTGTGGGCTTCCGCGACATCTTGCCAAGGATACACCTGTGACGATGTGAGCAACAGTTCTCCTGAGAAACGGAGCATCAAAGCACCGTATATAGGTACGTCTTCAGGGGACTTTCCTCCACCGTTTCCCCCTTAATATATGGGAGCACCTCATCAACGAATCGGCTAGTCAACTTAGCCTGATATTCGAGGGATCGGGTCCGCAAAGTGCTTCCTCCGATGTGAATGCGTTTGTATAAGATCGGCCCCAGATCTACATTGGGAATCTCCTTACCTAAACCTCGGTCAGCATTAGTAGATTGACATGTGGGTGTACACACCACTCAAGGTAGCGAGAAGCACCAGACGACCGTCTGTCCTCAAGAGATTGATGTTCCGAGAAAAATAGTCTTGACCCACAAAATCGACAATGACATCGACACCTTTCCCATTTGTCGCCTTATCGATCTCTACGGCAAAGTCTTGCTTTTTGTAATTTACTGCGTGACTCGCTCCGTTCTTTATCGAGCTGAGAAAGTTAGCTTTCTCATCGCTACCAGCTGTCGCATAGACGGTCTTGACTCCGAGAAACCGAGCCAATTGTATTGCCGCAAGCCCAACCCCTGACGCACCTGCATGCACAAGGACCGTATCATTTGCAGTTACGTGAGCAATCAAGACGATGGCTTGGAATGCTGCATCCACATACGGTCAGCGATGAGAGATTGATATTTGGCCAACTGACCAGTGAACCAAACTTCGGGAATGCTGGCTGCTTCTACGAATCCCAAGTCTGCGGGCTTTTTCATGACTGTGCCACTGCGAACGGTAATGTATTCCGCATAAGCGGCCTATATGCAGTTGAGAAGGATAGGTCGTCCTTCGCCGTCCGGCAACGTACACCAGGTGCAAGGCCGAGGACCTCATCGCCAATTTGGAAGTCAGAAACTCCCTCACCGAGGCCTTCTACCCTGCCCGAAAATTCGACTCCTAGAATGTCCTTGCTCGCGCTGGGTAGGGCCGGTGGACCGCGGCTTCGTTGCATGATATCCTGTCCCATCGGGGTAAGCCGGTTGGTAGTATGAACTGCAAGAACCGTAACACACCAAACGATTCACCCCTGCAGCCACGATCTAAGTGCATAAAATCAGCCGCATATCAATGAGAAGATATGGCACCCGCTTGCCTTGACGAGAATCTCGCCTTTGCTCGGTGTAGGGTTCTCGTAATTGCCAATGTAGAGATCATCAGCTGAGCCAATACCGCCTTTAATGAGAACAGCTCGCATTCTGTCTGATGTCTACTCCCAGCGATAGCAGTTGATTAACAAGGGAAGATCAAGAGGGGGTGGTCGATGTCACAGCAGAACCACCGAAACCGCCTGAGCTCGTGACCGAAGCAATCACTTGGACATTTGAATGAGAGACTCGGTTAACACTCAACAATCGATGGAATCAATTCGCCGTTTGAGCAGGTGAGTTGATTGCGTGATCCTGTCACATACTTGCGTTGGTCCACTAGTACAGTATCGAACTGCAGGAGCAGTAGACGTGGAGGTGCGTCAGCTCCGGCTCCCAAATGAACGGTCGAGTGCCGCTCGGCCGGAGGTCCGAGGTTCCAGTGGCGGTGTCGCTGGTCGCCGGATCGGGAAGACATCGCCCGGTCCAATTCCATGCATGTCGAGTCACTTGCACTCCCAGAAAGCTGACGAGGATCCTCAGCAATGCCCACGCACTTAGGCACATAACTGCTCTCCTTGTCCACCGTGACTAAAACTACTCACCAGTTGGTAGGTTCATCTTCGGCGGGTGCAGACTCAACCGCAGTCGAGACAATCATGAAAGACGAGACAGATAACGTGAACATGCAGTCTTCATCTCTCCCCATCGATGGGCAAGAGCCTGAGAAGGAACACACTCGGGTCACGACTGTGGACGAAGCCAATGTACCTGATATCTATGACCGGTTTTCCCCGGCGCGAAAGATGATTGTGGTCTTCATTGTTGCTTGGTCGGCCCTTCTGGCACGTGCGGCCCCCTCTCGTTTCCCATGTTCAGACTCGCAGTTGATCGTTCTTCAAGCATTTGCAAGTTCAGCTTTCCTACCGTCTATCCCTCAAATTGCTCGTGACCTCCACACCTCCGAAAGCGTGATCAAGTAAGAAACTGGACGTGTGCAGAACGTATACTCAGCTAATGGCGGGCCAAGCTATTCCGTCTGCGTTTACTTGGTTGTGATTGCATTCGCTCCCCTGGTCTGGTCGCGAGCGAGCACGTATTATGGTCGACGACCAGTGTACCTTGCCTCCATGCCAATATTTGTTCTTGGCTCTGTTGGCGTTGCGGAATCGCGGACTTTGGCAGAACTGATGATTACTCGTGTCATCCAGGTGTTCAGAATGTCCTTCTCAAGGATTGAAGCATGTGCTCACATAGCAATCTCAGGGTACCGGAGCGAGCAGTGTGCTGTCTATAGGAGCCGGTTCCATCGGTGATATTTACCGCCCTACCGAGCGTGGTCGAGCAATGGGATGGTATCTCGCAGTAATTTATACCCTCGTACGCAAAACTTTCAGCGCTGACCGAAGCCCAGGGTGCTCAGTTCGGTCCACCTTTAGCGCCAGTCGTTGGTGGTCTCATGACAGAGTAAGCTGACTACACTGCTCGTGGCAACTCTTGTTCATTACCACTGTAGATACGTGCAGGGAGCGAGAGGAACTTGGCGTGCTTTCCAGTACTTGTTGGCAGGAATGGGACTAGCAACATTCCTTCTTATCTTTTGTTTCCTCCCAGAAACGGCGCATCAGACTGAAAGTAGCCGAATGAAGTCCGCTCAGAGTTCACGTACAGAAGACCGTGCTCGCCTCCAGCTGAGGCAAATATTAGCCGCAACGAATCCTCTGCAGCCGTTGGCCATGTTGAAGCACCCTAATGTGGCTCTTATTGTGCGCTGGTGACTCCCCTCTAATTGCGCCAATGATGAGCGAGATTGTGTAGACGGTGAACTCGGCCTTTGTGATGCTGACAACCTATTGTGAGCGCATCTGCGTCTTGACAAGGAACTCGCGTCACTCATCACGTGCAAGGTGTCTTGGTTCCCATGCCTTACACACTGGTCAGCTCACAAGGAAAGAGCATGAAACTGAGTGCTCATCACCCTGGTGCAGGGGCCACGATTTCATATCACGAATGCTGCGGTGAATGGGTGCCTGTATCTAGCACAGGGCACAGGAAACGTTGGTGAGCACTTCTTTGACCCGTGTCTATTATCTGAATCAATGGTATATAGTGGGTTCCTACATCACAGGATACATTTCGGATTCTACAGTTCACAAGTGGATTGCCTTGAGGGCGGGTGAACGTGTTTCAGAAGACCGCCTTGAAGCAAGCTACTGGGCTGGCGTGGGTGCCACCCCGCTGACTCTGCTTGCTGCTGGGTTCTTGATGCAGTTTTGGACGACTTATCCAGGACTTGCGTTGTGCTTAGTGGCGCTATTCTTGAATGGGATTGCTGTTCGTGTTCGCATTACGAACATGCGCTTCGGCTGAATCAAGTTTAAAGCTGATCGGTGTGCTTGCGGTTTGCAACACATATCTCGTGGATTCTAATCAAGCACGATCAACTGAAGCGGTCGCAGCGAACAAGTGAGTCATGATACAAGTCCCAGGAAGAAATCGCTGAGGAATTGCGTTAAAGCTGCATCCGTTATCTTGCATCTGCCGGTGCATCTGCAGGTGTGCTGCCACTTATGCAGTCCATCGGAATCGCACCAACAAATGCTATCGCTGCAGTGATCGCATGGGCTGGTTTCATATGCGTGTGGATTGTCAGACGACGTGCTCCGCGGATATAGGTGAACATAGCCTTCTCGGGCCTATTAGACACTAGGATACTTGGTGTTGCACACCTCTGCAGATTCTCACACCCTTGTATAATGTGCTCTCCGATCTTTCTTCATTACTCAATGAGAAGGACCATCTTGCCACGGTTTCTGTTCGCTTCCATTTCCTTGTGAGCACCCGCTACCTTCTCCCAAGGATATGTCTGTGATCAGTCTCAGCATGGTCGTTAGATATTGGACAGGTGGAAGACAGACTTCATATATATGCGCATTCATGGGGCCATCTTCGTGCTGGTCCCCTTTCAGAAAAGGGAGCAATTCCGCCTCGAAACGTCTTGCTAAGTTCCCTTGGTACTCAGGAGAACGAGATCGTAGTGTGGTACCTTGAATGCGAATACGTTTGTACAAGACCGGACCCAGGTCTACTTGAGGAACAGTGCTACCTTCGGAAGACTCAGTAGTTTCACCAGCGGACTTACCCTGAACTTGACTCACCACTAAGCATAGCAAGCAGTACTAGTCGACCATCCCTTTTCAGTACCTTTATGTTCCTTGCAAAGTAGTCCTTGCCAACGAAGTCGATGATCAGATCCACGCCTTCCCCATTCGTCTCTTTGTCAATCACTTCGGCAAAGTCTTGCTTCTTATAGTTAATGCCGCAAGTTGGGGCTTCCTTCATAGACAGGAGGAACTTGATATTGTTGTCGTCTCCAGCTGTTGTGAAAACTTCTTTTGCCCCCAGGAAACGAGCGATCTGATTGGCAGCGATACCAACACCGGATGCGCCAGCATGGATAAGTACCGATTCTCCCTTTGTGAGGCCGCCGACAAGAACAAGTGCCTGGAATGCTGGCAAGGAATAAGAAGGGACGACATTTGACAAGAACAGCACTCGCCGGTAAACCATGCCTCTGGCACACCCGCTGCTTCAACGAAGCTCAGGCTTGACGGCTTATGCATGAGTGTGTTGCACGCAACGGTAACATACTCGGCGTAGGCACCCTAGATGGAGCCTTCATTCGACCGGATGATAAAGAACTTGCAGGGGTATGACGCACTCCGTATAGCAGACCGAATATCTCATCGCCAACTTTGTAGGCAGTTACCTGGCCGCCAAGTTCTTCAACAATGCCAGCGAATTCAACGCCAAGGATGTCCTTGCTAGCTTGGGGTGGCAAAGGATAACCGCCTCCTCGTTGGATGACGTCCTATCATGGAATACAGTTACAGCTCGTCAGGTTGCGAAAAGGTTGTGCATGCTCACCATGCGATTGATGCCTGCAGCCTTGACCTAGAAAGAGATCAATGTGAAACCTGGTCGGTCTGCTAGCAATACGTGCTTTCACCAACACTTCTCCTTCCTTGGGTATAGGCTTGTCGCATTCACCGATGTACAGATCATCGGCAGTTCCTGCACCATTTTTAATAAGAATAGCGCGCATTTTGGAAGCCATTTGTGATTGTTTGAATACAGAGATGTTTGGTGAGCAAGCTGGAGAGACGATGATGCTAGTTGACAGTGATTTATAAACTTGAGGTAGTCGGAATAGAACGCCGAGTGGTTTGATGGCTTGATAATGATGACCGGCGCTTATTATTTCATATATCAGATGTGATGGAAGACAGTCAAGCCTGGTATAGATTTGAATTTCACTGTTCCCGCGATTAACCCGTGCTTAGTAGTACAACAGAGAAGAGGGCAACGACAGGCGCATATATGTACACAGCCTCTCTGTTCCATGCGTCTTCGGTGCTTCACCTTGCACGTCCCTTCTCTCTTCCTCTCCTGCTTCTCTCTCGCTGCCGTTGAGCTTGGCAAACACCTCAGTATCTGCTTTGTCGAATAAAATCACCTCTCGCCATCATGGACCGTCTAGAACAGCTCGGCAGTCAAATCTCCCAGTTGACCATGTACGACGTCAAGTCATTCTACAACCAGGTGCGGCACAAACGCGCCAACAGACGCTGACGGTCGAGTTCACATCTTGTGATAGGCGAGGAACTATGTACTTAATGTCAGCGAAATGGAGGGGAAAGTGCGAGAAGCCACTAATGACGACCCATGGTGAGCTGTCTTGTGAAGGGTCAGCAGTGGTTCTGTGCTCATCCTCTCAAGGGGGGCAAGTTCAACGCTCATGCAAGAGATCGCTCAAGGGTAAGTTGCCAGCTAGCAACCTTCATGCAATCTTCTGATCTCAGGACAGGACGTTCAACTTGTATGTGCAGTTCATGATTTGATCAAGAAAATCCCTTTGAGTCCTTCAATAGCCAGCAATTCAACGAGATCATGCCCGCAATCTACAATCGCTTCATGGAGAAAGAGGCTCGCCAATGGAGGCAGATCTACAAGGTGTGTCCTGACTAGAGCATGAGAAGATTACTCCGCTCATGTCTAGTCATAGGCACTCCAACTTCTCGAATACATAGTTAAGCATGGGAGTGAGCGCGTCGTGGACGATGCTCGTGCTCACCTTGCCACGATCAAAATGCTACGAAACTTCCACTACATAGACGACAAAGGCAAGGATCAAGGTGTTAACAGTATGAGGCTTAATTTACGTCCCCATTATTCTTCTGACGACTATCCAGTCCGTAATCGATCCCGCGAGCTGGCCGAGTTACTGCAAGATGTTGAGAAGATTCGCACCGAACGCCGGAAGGCAAAGACGAACAGAAACAAGTACGTTGGTACCGGTAATGAAGGATCGAGCTTCGGGAGCAGTGGACGTTATGGCGGCTTCGGGAGTGATAGTGTCAGCCCTGGATACACCGGCTATGGTAATGAAAGCGGTGGTTACAGCGGATCGACGTATGATCGAGGTCAGCTTGCCACACCCAATAGTGTCCGATATTCATTGATCTTCCTAAGATTACGGCGGCTCCTCGTCCGAGTTCAGAGATCAGACGGCCCGCCGTGGATTCGATGAATACGACGCGGGTGATGACGAGGAAGCTGCTCATCCGCGTTCCTCCATCTCCGCTACAAGGCAATCCACAAGTGATCCTATTGCGCCGCCTCCCCCTCCGGCAGCTGCCAAGCCGAAAGAGGTTAATTTACTGGATATGCTTGAAGATGATACGACGGTATCGGTTGGACGCGCGCCTGCTGCCGTTCCCAGCGCGCCCGCTGGAGATTGTAAGCAATGATTGCTCTACATGTACTTAAATTAACTTTTAGACAGTCGACGATTTCGATGACTTCCAGGCAGCCCCCATGAGTCCTCATGTTGGTGTTTCCTCGGTTCCTGCAGCTCCCGCTAAGACCGGTGGTGCTGGTTTATTTGATCTGCTCGACAGCACGCCCGCTCCCGCCCGCACTGCTTTTAGCCCGCCAATGACCACATCTGCTCCAAGTATGATGGCGACACAACCTCAGCGCCCAATGATGCCGGCGGCGCCTATGCAGTCTTTTACATCGAACAACTCGGGAATGCTCCCCTCGGCCCTGACCGGCCCTGCAAAGGTTGGCCCGTCTGCGGCTACGACTACGACTGCTTCTAAGCCCGCTGGGGCCTTCGATGATCTCTGGAGCATGTCGCTCGGATCGTCTGCCCCGAAGCCAACCAGCACCGCTGTCAACAACGGCAACAAGTCGATGCTTGATCTTCAGCGTGAAAAGGCACAAGCGAACCTGTGGGGTCAGGCCGCAGGCGGCACTGGCACTACGACGAAGCCGGCGGGATCCGGTGGATTCGATGACCTGTTGCTGTAGACCTCCCAATCAGTCTTTTGGTTTTTTTCTCCCATGACGAGATAACCCATCCCAATGAGATAAGTATTGTGTTGTTGTGTGAATGATGAACGGTGTTTTGTTCTCGAACCCTTTGCCTTGCTGGCCTAAGTGACAAATGGCCGCATGCTTCAGGCACCTTGTCGGCACGAATGGCCGACTTGGCCGGCAGATATACACTGTGCAATATGAAACGAATTCGGCTTTTGAGGTGAATTGATGGGTACTAAATTGGCTGTGTAATGCTAATATCATTCATGAAACAAATTCGACCATAATCTGGTAATGATAGGAGAGAAAATAAAGTGAATTCAGGGGGTGGCAAGGCCGTGCAAAGGACTGCCCCCAAGTGTGTCGAGCGGACTTTGAAACACACCTGTTGCTCACGAGGCCCTCTTAACCGCCCCTTGGTCCCCTCCTCCTCCTCCTCATCTCTCTCTTCGACGTCCACCTCGTCGCCTCTTCTCTGTTCTTGTCCACATACCAGCCTGCTCTTGTCATTAGACCGGCCGGTCCGCTTGGTAGTCTATTCGACACTATCGGCTGCGCCCTACGATCGCTCCCAGATCACCCACCAGGTCTCCGACTCGACGTCGGCAGGTTCCTTGCCTCTATCAACAGCATACTTCTGTCCACGCAGGACGAAAAAAAAATATCAACAACACATCGAGTGTACCTTTGACAAGGTCTCGTGAATCACAATCGATTTGACCTTGATTTCACCACCGTCAATCGCTCACTCAAATTCCGCAATGTCGTTCGCCGCTGCTTCCGCTAATGGCATCCCCGCTGCACCCCCAACACCCACTGGGCTGGCCTCATTGCCTCCCAAGCCTCCTATGTCCCTGAACAACCCGCGTGCGTCCTTAGGTCCAAACGAGCGACTTCGCCAGCCTCTGTCGCCGCGTGTTGCGGTCTCTTCGCCAAGCGCGCGCCCCACCAGCGAGCTCCTCGCTAACGTGACCATTGCCCAGCCGACCCCTGAAGGTGAGTGTACCTTACCGGTATCTGAATTCGATTCCTGATCCTTGCTCAGCGGAGGCGCTTGACCAGTGGTTCGAAAATCTTCAGAACTATGAAGTCACCCTCGAGGAGATGGCCGCCGCGTCACTGGACCAGAACTTCAAGGAGGAGCTCACCGCCATCGAAGAGTGTAAGTCACTCGGCATCCCAGTCTAGTTGACATGATTGAATGGTACTTTAGGGTTCCGCGTCCTCTCGGAGGCTGAACGCACCGCTGCCTTGTACAGCTTGCTCCAGTCTGCCACTCAAGTCCAGATTCGGTTCTTCATCCAGGTCCTTCAGCAGATGTCTAGGGCTGATCCGATGACCGCCGTGTTAAGCCCTAGTATGGGCGGATCGATGCAAAACCAAATGGAACAAAAGCTCAACCAGCTTGGCCTCAAGTCTCCGGGCCTCAAGGCGCCCTCTTCCCCCGCCGTGAGGAATTTCAGCGCAGGCTCAGCGAACCGTGCCTCGTTCGGTGGAGATATTTCGTCCTTCCTCTCTCCCGATTCTGCCGCATTGAGTGATGCCGCTGGAACGCTTGCGCAAAAGCGCGCTCAGCTGAAAGCGACTCAAGCCGCTCATCGCATTTCTGCGCCCGGTCTGATCAACTCGAATAACAATGTCTGGACCGGTTCTTCCCTCAGCCAGGTTATGGAACGTCAGGCATCGCCGTCGCCAGAGCCTCCCGTTTCCCCCGGTTTGGCCCCTGCCACGGCTACCATTAGGCCGAAGAGCACCGACTTTGCTGGTGTCGCCAACACCCTGCGTTCACCTCGCCCGAACTTGACGGAAGACCCACCGAACGATGGTCTCTCCCCTATGATCGGAGGTCACTGGTCTAGCATGGTGAACACCCCTCTGGTGCCCATGTTTTCCGCAGACAATCAGCAAAACAATACCAATGGCCTCGACGCTGTCAACGCCAAGCTCAACCAATGGGGTGGTGCGGGGAACGACGCTAGCGCCCGCGTCCCTCTTATGGATGACGCGAAGAAGTTTAGGCGTAAGAGCCCTGCGATCGACGAAGCGATGAGTGGACTCCGTCCTGCAAACGGGAACGCTGCTCTTCTCGCTCAGCAGCTTGCTGCGAACAGAAGCGTTGGTGCCGATGGCGTGAACAACTTCAATGGACTGGGCGGGCTGAGCCCGCACATGAACGGACTTGGTATGGGAGGATTCGGTGGTCTTGCCGGTCTGCAAGCGATGGGGGCCGGTGGGCTGAGCCCGCTGACGGCCAACATGACTGGCATGAACTTGAATGGTCTCGCCGGTATGAACCAGATGGATCTGCTCAGCTTGAATCTCAGCCCTATTGGTCTGGGTGCTGGCTTGAACCTCAACGCTGCCGCCCAGGCGCAACTGCTTGCTCAACTTGCGACCGGTGGATACCCCAACTCGGCTTCTTCCATCAAATTTGCCGGTCTGCAGACTCCCCTCACTGCCGGTCGTCCCCGCAGTGCAGGAAGGCGCAGTCCATCAGGCAAGGTGGGCTTTAATGGTCCGGCTTCCGCCAGGACCGACGACGACATCGACCCCAATGTGCTGCAAGACGTACCCGGCTGGCTGCGCTCCCTTCGCTTGCACAAGTACACTACTAACTTTGAAGGTATGGATTGGAAGGATATGGTTATGATGGATGAAGCAGCTCTTGAGAAGAAGGGAGTGGCAGCGTTGGGTGCAAGGAGGAAGATGTTGAAGACTTTCGAGGCCGTTCGCATCAAAATGGGTATTGAAGGACCCCCACCTATGAGTGCGGTTAGCACAAACGCCACCTCCATCTCTGGGGGAGAGGAGCCGACCTCCGCAATCGAGTGACCGGCCCTCGACCGTTGCTTTCTCAGAGATTCACGAATTGATTAATCTTCTCTCCGAGCTTGACTATCATTTTCCCTCGATTCTTCTTGTCTTCTATGCGTATTCCTTCAACTCTCGTTGCCTATTGTTTCCCCTCTTCCACCACCTGTGCTCGGGCTCTCTGGCCAGAGTCCACGTAGGTGAATCCCCTCCCCACCCAATTTCATTTGTGTCTATGTTGATAACGCCGCGGTATCTTCCTTGTCTTGATAACTTCGTAATTGTGCTGGTTTGTAGCTTCCGTAGCTCGACGCGCAATATGTTACACCTCTTTGCATCGCCTATATTGCGTTCACCTGAATCTTTTGACAGTGTCCCCACTTCCTCCAAATGTTCTCGATGTTATTCAGGAAAAGTGTGCCCATTTCTAGAAAGTTTTCAGCTATGGTAACCGCTCCACCGTCGTCGTCGGCCTTATCCGCCGTCGCCGGCTTTCCCCACATATTTCTGTTGCGCCCTCACAAAGACAGCACAGCAATTCGAGGGCAGACGACCAGTCCAACGACCACCTTTTCTCCTCCACTTCTCATACAATCTCGTTCATTTTACTCTCTTATGGCTTCCTCTCGCTCAAGTTCCCGTTATCGCTCTCGTTCGAGGGGACCGTCCCCCATTCGTACCAGGCATTCGTACCTGGGCGAATCCGAAGACACAGTTGACCCTGATACAGCTGCTCAGGCGAACCATGCCTTCAGCGCTGGACGAGTCGCTGTTATCACCGGCGCCGGGTCACCCAACGGTATCGGCTTCGCCGCTGCCAAAGAGCTGGCTAGGTGTGTCCTTATCGAGCATTCCGTTGATGATGCTGAGGATCTCCATATCGGGACAGTTATGGCATGAAGCTTGTTCTTGCCGACATTAACAAGGAAGAGCTGGAGGAGGCCACTAAGCAGATCGAAGAGAAGGTCGGGACGGGCAACGTCATCGGGGTACCCACCGATGTGAGCAAGATTGAAGACTGCAAGGCGTTGTTTGACAAGGTGTACGATGCCTTCGGCGAGGTGACCATCTATTCCCATTCCCTTATCGGGCCTCCAGCTGACAATATAGACAGGTTTCTGTTCTCATGAATAATGCGGGTATCGGTCCTTATGGAGGTGCTTATACCAACCTCGACAATTGGCACAAAGTGCTTGACACGAACCTGTATGGTGTTGTCAACATGGTTCAGGTGTGTCCACCAGCCTTATCTCTTAGATCCGATGCTCAACTTGCTTTAGACTTTCACCGCCGTCATGATGGCACAGGAGAACCCTGCTGTCATCATCAACACTGGTACGTGTGATGTCGTGTTATGGCCTTGAGCTGTATGCTAAACCTTAACCCAGGATCTAAGCAAGGAATAACGAACCCACCTGGCAACGCAGCTTATAATGTCTCCAAAGCTGGAGTGAAGGTTCTCACCGAGAACCTGGCGTGGGAATTCCGCCAACAGAACGCGAAAGTCAGCGCGCATCTCTTCGTGTGCGTACCGCGGCACCAGGTGCTGTTATCAGAGTATCTGATCTGTAAGATAGCCCTGGCTGGGTGCACACTGGGTTGACCGGGGCTCGCGTCAAGGAGAAGCCCGAGGGTGCTTGGACGGCTACACAGACGGCCCAATACATGTTGGAACGGGTCAAGGAGGGAAAGTTCTACATCATCTGCCCCGACAATGAGACAACGACCGAAATGGACAAGCTACGCATAATGTGGGGTGCCGAGGATGTTGCTTTGGGCCGTCCCGCTCTCAGTCGGTATGTGTTCTCCTCCCTCGGTGCACTCTGAAGCAGGGGATTGATCTATTTTCTTCTCAGCTGGCATCCAGAGTACAAAGCGCTTTTTGAAGAGTACATGCGCGACAACCTGTCAGCCTCGGCGTCACTTGCGTCTTGAGAAGACCTCACAATATTTGCTCCCATCTGTACCAGATAAACTGTTGAAGTGTATAGCAAAGTTAGAAGGAAAATCAACGAAGAGGTTAGCGCTGGCAGTATTGACTTCACTCACAAGCACCAGATTCGAACCACGATTGAAACTGTATGAAACCTCGGAGAATCGGGCCGACTGTGAAAATGTACCGACCTTATCACCAACGGGCTTGTAGCAGCGATCATCAACCTGTCACACAAACCATTGGTCAACTGCTCCTTCATGAGAGTACCCTGTGTAGAACGTGTTACTAAGCGTGCCCGAAAGTTATCAGCTTCGCGAGACCGGGCACTAGCAGTCAGCTGCCGACCAAGAGGAAGTCGATCACGCCCAACAACATTCCAGCTCGCGCCCGTCCGGAAAGATGATAGTTGCACGAGTATCGGACCGTTGTGCAGGGCGGCGCTGACCACGAGTCCCAAGATTAGATTGTTCGGTACGGAGTTGTTATTCTGCCAGTCCATCTCACGCATTAACAACAGTCAACGTGATCAACTGGGGTGAATAGTGCGGGGAAGTCAACTATATGAAACGTAGGGGCCAAGAACTGAATACAGTCTGCAGATGTTGCTGTTGGTCCTTACCCTTCTAGGTTGGAAATTGGCCTCCACTGTGAGGAACGTGGGAATCTCTCAGATCACTGTGCAAAGCATGATCAACCTCATGGACCAAGGCCCATGACGAGCGCCCTTCCAGCTGATAGATCCGACCAGAATGTAAACCTTTCAAGGACAAAGGTCTTCGCCCGAATCAGGTCCCCGGCGATTTGGATTAGCCTTTCCACGTGATGTTGTCCTGATTTCGAAGTGCCATTGAATTGGAATCAATTCTTCTCTTACTCCTTTCGACTTCTTTGCTTCTCGGGGTCAACACATCAGCCAAAGTACATAGGCCATCGTGTCACCTGGATCAGTCCATGAATCGCTCCGTCTACAGGAGAATGCGGGGTTTGCGGGGAAGATCCCCGTTTGATGAGCCGATTTGGGCTGGTCCAGCCGGCGTCTAGAATACATTCCAGCGTTATAAAGGTTTGCTTCGTGGATGTTCCTTCTCGGTGGGAGTTTTCTCTGTTTATCTACTGGAAACGACACCAACGACAACCTACGCGACATATCATGTCGAGGGCTGCGACTACACCACCGGAGACCTCTGCATGGGCCAACAGGAAATGTCTCATCTTGTGTTCCATCGTGGCAGTTGCCAACATGCAGTACGGATTCGATAGCGCCGCAATTGGCTCCTTGCAGGCCATGCCAGGATTTTTGGCAGTCTTCGGATATCCCGATCCTTCATTGCCCACAGGATACGGCATAGATGTAAGCGATGTTACCACCATAACCTTCAATACGCTGATAAGTGCGAGGACAGAGTACCGTCCAACAACTCATCGGATCTCTAATGACAGCAGGTGCCTTCCTCTCATCACTGGTGGCTGGGGCATTCAGCGACTTTCTTGGACGCAAGTACGCATTATGGGCGGCCTGCATTCTGAACTTTATCGCCTGCGCCGTCCAGATCGCCTCGTCAAACGTCGGTGTTCTTTACTTTGGTCGTCTCCTTCTCGGCTTCGCTAATGGGTTTTTCGTCACTTTCTCCAACGTTTACTGCGCTGAGGCATCCCCCGCCCATATGCGTGGGGTCATGGTTGCCCTCTTCGCATACTGGGTCAACATCGGCGCAATCTTCGGATCTGTCGTTGACAACTACACAAGCACACGCATGGACAAGCTCAGTTACCAGATTCCGATTGCCTGCCTGTTCATCGTCCCGGTCCTTCTTGGGTTGGGCCTCTTCGTGGTTCCTGAGTCGCCACGCTGGCTTCTTGTTCGTGGTCGAGAGGCTGAGGCTCGCAAGTCGCTGGACATTCTGCGTGGCGGTTCCACCGAGCAACAATGGACTGAATATGAATGGGACGAGATGGTCCGGGGAGTAGCAGCGGAGAAAGAGATTGCGCAGGGGGTGGCATGGCAGGATATGTTCAGAGGTTCGAATTCCTAACTTCTTCCCTCACACAAAACTGAAACTTGGTCAAGGTGCCGACTTGCGCCGCACTCTTCTCTGTTATGGCATGATTGGTTGCCAAACAGCTTCTGGATCGTGGTTCATCATCGCGTATTCGACATATTTCTTCCAGATTGCAGATATCACGAAGGCTTTCCAATTCTCTATCATGAATACGTGCATTGGATTCCTTGGCGTCAATTGCGGCATGTACGCGATTCGGCACATCTTCGGTCGCCGGTCTATCCTGATACTTGGAGCGTTCCTTGTTGGGGTATCCCATCTGGCGTATGCTATTGCAGACACGGTCCATCCCAATACAGAGGAAACCGGTCAAATCATCGTTGCTTTCATGGCTCTCTTCCAGTTCTCCTATAATGGCGGTGTTGGCGCTGCCAGCTATCCCGTCGCAACCGAACTTGTCAGCTCTCGCTTACGTGCCTGGACTGTTGGCAGTGCGACCGCCTTGGGCTACATCCTAGCGTGGACCACCAGCTTCTGCACACCTTACTTTATCAATCCTCAAGATCTGAACTGGGTGCGTTTCTTGTCAATTTCCACAGCACATCTCTAAGTCCTTCAAGGGTGCGAAATACGGATATATCTGGGCCGCTTCGAATGCGGTTTGCATCGTGTTCTTTTACGTATACATGCCGGAAATGAAGGGCCGTTCTTTGGAAGAACTCGACGAGATCTTCGAAGCGAGAGTTCCAGCCCGGAAATTCCCCGAATATGTCTGCCACATTTCCCAAGAAGCTGCACATGACGTCGCGACGCACCATATACCACATATTAACGACAAGCCATCTATCGAGTATGTGGAAAACACGGTCGAAGAGAAGTACACTGAGTCTGTATAAAGGACATAACGAATTGTAACCTAGCCATTTTTCTTTGAATTCATATATACGACACTGTCATGTACTCATGGTCAGTATTATGCGCATGATACACAACATTCTGCGGTTGGAGCAAAATTGAGACGTCATGATCTCGATTTTGTATGAAGCGACGTTAGACTTGCCGATGCATTAGTTAAATTGAACCCAAACATGCAGTCTAATGATCGCACATGGAGAGAAAAAGAACCCACGAAGTCGTCTATATTTGAACAGTACTTGTACACAAAAAGGACCGGGATTGTGCCATGCCTCCAGTTTATTCCATCTCGTAATGTTCTGGCCACCAAACCCAATCCGGGCGCAGGCTGTCAAAGTCTTCCCATAGGCTGAAAACAGCCTGCCCGTCGTGGTCTCTAATGTGCTCCGGAGACGGAGGTGGCGGATCGTGATGTCCTGAGCCGTCATGACCGCGAGGTCCATCGCCGCGGGGACGACTACCATACGGCCTCCTTCCTGGGCCCCCAGGACCACGACCAGGCCCTCGGCGGTTCTTCCAGTCGAATGCCGCCCTATTCAGACATCTGGGCCAGTCTGCTCCAGGAGTGCTCCATACGATGGGCCATACAGCGAGTGAGCAAAACTCGCCTGCCGCATCCGAGCAGGCACCGATCGGGCAGCTTACGAAGGTTGGCCAGACGAGATCCTCAAACAAGGTTGAAACGAGAACACTTGCGTCAGAAGTGGTTGAGTTGGTGGACCAAGGTGAGGGGCTCGGACTGGGTGGTGCTATTGGTAGGAGATCGAAGAGGTCGAACAATGTTGTGCAGATTCTGTCAAGAACGAAAAGGACACTCTTGTAGATCTTCTGTTCCTCCTTCGTCAAGTGGAGCCGCTCGATGTGCCATGTGAGGCCGTTGATGCACTTGTTGAGACCCCGGTCGGGAAGGTGTGGCTCGTAATATGGAACTAAGGAGATGTGGACAAGAGACGCAGCAGTGGCTATCTCAGTTTCATTTGGAGCAGTGCCTGAGAGAATGTTTTGGATTTCGAGAAGTCGCGGCTGGTAACGTGTCGTCACAGTGTCGACCAGCATTTGCCAATTGACACTGCGCTTGCCGAACAAGGGGCGATTGGTGACTTCGAGCACTTCATCTCGAATCGTTTGTCGAGTTTCGTTCGACATCGTAATCATTCGCCGCTCCTTGAGCGAGCCCTTCGGATCCAACTTCACATCTCGACCATGAGCAGAGACGAAGCCGCTCCAATCGAGCTCGACTCTTGAATCACTGACAAAGTTGTGCCAAGCAGCAGAGCGAGCCCATTCGTAGAACGGCTCGGCAGAGTCCTGATGTGTGCGTGTGACGTTGACGTTAGCTCCGAGCTCCCATGCAGACCAGTCGCAGACGATGAGCTCGAAGCCTGCGTTCATGCGGACAAACCCGTCCAGATCGACGTCGAATTCTTTCGTCCAGTTGCAGAGTTTCGCTGCACGGATGTACTCGTCCCATACACCTCTCCAATCCGTCGACGGCGTCCCCGCTAAGCCGTACCCAATCAGATCGACAAAATCGAACGTTCCCGTGTTGGCGATCATGGCGCTCATGCCATCGAAATATCCCACTTTGATATCCCTCTTAGCACTATAGGTCCTCATCCACGTCTCCCCAGTCTGGTTTCTCCTAGGAAAGGCCATCCTGTTGCCAAAGATCCCAAAGCTCATCTCCGCATCGAAAGCGAGCCATTCGGGCGTGTCGGGTGGACTGGCAGATGGTCGAGCGTGGTACATCGATGTCCCTGCACGTATGAGGCCGGGGACGAATGATGCGCCATTCGGATTGAGCGTGTTGCCCCATTGCCGGAGGGCGGAAGAGACAGAGTTGAAGACGTGCGCTCGGTAGTCGAGGAGTTGGCTGACCGTCGCAGTGACTAGGACGAGCGCCTGAAGTAACCAGAGCAGCTTCATCGCCGTCTAGGTGTTCCTTTGATGGCCAGCAAGTGGCTGAGGACCGCCAGGCTGTGGATGGTATGTGGGCATCGCCGTCAGTGCAAGGACTGAATGGCGACGAGCCAGGCGTTATCATTGACGCCAACAGGGCGCTGCGCAGTTGCTGTACACTCGCGACATCAGGGGCTGCTTTGATGGTCGTGCGACTTAAACAATCGTCGCCAACCGATTGAATGCCAATGCACAAATAGTATAGATGACTGTAGTAAGACAACTATGAATGCGTGCACCGTGAACCGAGGCGCTGTAGCAGAAATTGAGAAAATAAAAATCGAGTGCCAACTGGCCAACCAGCGTCGATATGATATCAACTCACAACCCATGGATGCGGGAGACGATCAACAACCCAGGCAAGAGAGCAACGGGGAGAAGAGGTGCGGGCATCCTGCGACTTCTTCCCGTCGGATAGGACCACTTCCTGCACCTCACTCACGCGCACCAGTAGCAGCGGTGGGTAGAGCCATGCCAGGCTGCCTCTCCTCCAACGCGTCGAACATGACCACATCCTCCTTCCGCTCCTTATCCCACTTCTCGACGTCCCAATAGGTGTACACTGCCTTCTCGCCTGCACCGTTCAGCCGCTTGTTTGTCTCGGACGTCTCCGTTCCAGGCCCAGTTTGCGAGGGGTCGTTATACTCGGGCTCTTTGGTGACCCACATCCCTAAATCTTTGTGGAAGCGCCAGTGACGGTTGTACCTGCACATGATTGTCAGCAAGGGTCATAGGGTGCGGTAAGGGACTTGCAGTTCCTGAGCGGCGACTTCCTGCAGGATGTCACGCGGGCTAGAGTAGAACATGAAGAACAACGTCTCGTCGCTGAATGCAGCCGCCTTTTGCGGCCCAGGCATCGGCGCCTGAACGTTATAGCATGAGGGAAGAGTGAAATCCGGTTCCACCGTTTGAGGTGGTGTGCCAGGGGCGGAATAGGGAGAGTAGAACGTAGGGTAAAGGTCGTCTTTCGATCCGACGGCAAGGTTGAGGGAAGTGGTCAAGTCTACGCCACCGACGGAGAGGAGGGCGATGTCGGGCTGCGTGGCGGAGGAGCGGATCATACGGAGGAGGGCGAGGAGCCCCCAGCGGTCGGTAGGGGAGGTGAAGAGTTGTTCGGCGGGATGGTTGCGGATTCCAGCTGGGGCGGCCTGCTGCGGGCCTAAAGCCTGGGGGGCAGTCTGCGAGGGATGATTGTGCGGCATGTGTGGGGGAGGTAGGTTAGGCGGAGGAGCGGAGGGATGATGTCCGGGATGCTGATGCTGACCGAGGCGGGCGTCACCGAGAGATTGTTGCTGAAGCTGGGGGGGAAATTGGGACGGGTGAGGGCCTTGAGGGGTTTGGCCACGAGGCTGGCCGTAGCCAGGCGGCGGCTGCATGCCGTTGGAGAGGTTGGAAGGGAATGTAGGTGCGGAAGAGGGGTTGCTGGATGCCTGAGGTTGGCCCGACTGCTGGGACCATGCTGCAGGCTGGCCAGGTTGGGAGTTCTGGTTTTGGCCGTATGGCTGCTGTGGGGGCTGCGGGGTGTTCTGCGCGCTGGCGAGTTTGATTGCGTACTGCTGCAAGAATGTCAATATGCGAAGTGAGGTAAAGGAAACGAGGAAAACAGACCCGCTTCTCTGCTTCTGTCATTCCCACACTACGCGCACCACCCATGATGCCGCCGAGAAAGGATTGCCTATCATTCAACCCTTGCCCGTTGGTCCCATTCATGCCATTCCCCTGCTCGCCTCCCCCTCCAAGGGCGGGGAAGTCCTCTGGCCCGAAATCCCTCGAAGACTGATTCATACCCACCGGGTTTCCACCCGAAGGAGCAGATGGGGCGGTGGAAGCGTTTCCTGCCTGAGAAGCGTAGGATTGGAGGAAAGCAGCATTAGGCGCTTGGTTGGAGTTTGGCGCGCTCGATCCAAGGGCGGGGAAATCGTTCGGGTCAAGTGCGTCTGAAGAGTTGGTAGGAGCAGGGGTGGCAGAGAGGTTAGGGGGGCCAGAGAGGTGCGGGGGGTTGGAGTGCTGGGAGAGAGCAGGAGGCGTGTTCTGGGATTGTTGCGGTTGCTGCTGGGTGGTGAGGACTGTGGTGGCCGGCGGCACGACCTGAGAGGGGAGGGGAAACCCACCGCGGGATGGGATGAATGATTGAATGGGCTGGGTGGGGTGCATGCCCGTCCCACGGCTGGCTATTGTTGGTCCTGGACCTGGAGTCGTCTGCCCACCAGGAGGAAAGGGCATGACTCCACGAGATGGAGGACCGTATTGCGGATATCCAGTGGTACGGAATGGTCCTGATAGTCCTGGTACTCCGGAGACGGGCCCCAGGCTCGGTGGACGTGCTTGCTGCGGTGCTGGTGGTAGAGGTGATGAGGATGAGAGGTCGCGTGAGGAAAAAGGACGTACGTTGCCTATTCATTTGCTGCTGGACTGGACGTTCTGGTAGTGGTGATACTGATGGAGGAAGTTGTGGAGCAGCTGGGATCCGCTGCATCTACTGGTTACGAGTGATTTTTAGACGATGAGGAGGGTGACGTTGACGATGAGGAAGGAGAAATGGACGATGAGGAGGAAGGGATGGACGATGAGGAGCAGTAACGGCTGTTTTCTCACGTTGGTTACGGACCCTTTCATTCGGATGTAGATTGACTCTGTCTCCGTACGCCGTCTTAAAATCAGCACAATGGATTAATGAGGTATTATCATCTGTCCCTTGACTTGCAGTATTCATACATTTCCACAACAATACAATATACATTTAATCTCTAAATACAAATAAACATTCACTAATATTACGTTGTGAATAATAATTAATCATGTTCCGGTGCTCACGTGTTGAATATACCGAGTGACACGGATGTTAGACGCATGCTCTTCTTTGCTTCTCTCTCTCATCTGCTTCTCTCACACATGCTCTTATTGTAGTCTCTATTCCATGGGAACAAGAGATATTACACGCTGTCAAGAATGACTGCAAACAGTGGAATAAATGAATAATATTCCACTGTATGGTGCCATGATACACTGCTTATCGTGGGCTCATATTTCTTCTGCCAGCGTGTATACGTGACTCTTCTATCTATTCCATCTCGACGTCGTGTGCCTTGACCTGTCGTTCTCTCTGTTCTCACAAGGTTGAGCCGTCCTCCTGATGGTTAATTCATACATATACTTGCCACCTGCCAGCCATCTCTCAACATCTGCGCTCGCCTCTTTCTGGTCGACCACCATGTTCCTTCTCCTCTTTCTCGTCCCGGCGGCACTGGCGCTCTGGCCAAACCCGCATAGCGTATCCTACGGTACATCTGCTCTCATTCTATCTCCAACGTTTTGGATACACTGGGCATCTACAACCCCCGCTCCGGGGGACGTGACTGCCGCCATATCGCGCACCATGGCCGAGCTGTACACCGACAACCTCCAGCGACTCGTTGTCGGGCGAGCGAATGCCGACCTCCCGGCGCTTGCCTACGCCAACTCACTCCCCATGATCCATCTCGAGATCATAGGGAACAGCCCTATCAAGAGCATCATGGCTGAGGCGACCTGCATTCTAGGCGAGAGGGACGAGTCGTACACGCTCACCATTCCCGCTGATGGCACCCCCGGCATGCTCCAAGCGAATACGACACTCGGCTTATTCAGAGGTCTGACGACGTTCAGTCAGCTCTGGTATTCCTCTGGAGGCGTAGCAGCGATATTCCCGTACAACTCGTTCTTCCCTGGATCATCGATGATCTACACCGTTCAAGCACCAGTGATGATCACGGATACTCCTGCCTACGTGCGTCCCTTCGAAACTTCTCAATCTCTCTAACGTCTTCCAGCCGTATCGGGGTCTCCTCCTCGACACTGCGCGCAACTTGTAAGCCCCTCCCACTCGCACGCTACCCACCTAACACCCCTCAGCTTCCCAGTCGCAGACCTCTACCGCACCCTCGACGCCGCCTCCTACGTCAAGATCAACACCTTCCACTGGCACATCACTGACTCGCAGTCTTTCCCACTCACTGTAGCCGCCTTCCCCGAGCTCTCGCAATACGGTGCCTACTCGGCTGTGCAGACCTACTCCCTCCAAGATGTGCAGGATATCATCAACTACGCCGGGGCGAGAGGGATCGACGTCATGCTGGTGCGCATATTTCTCTTCTGAATAACATATCACTCAATCGTAGTGCAGGAAATCGACACCCCCGGGCACACCGCCTCCATCTGGGAGTCCCACCCAGAGTACGTGGCCTGCTACAACGAAGCGCCCTGGACGACATACGCGAATGAGCCTCCCGCCGGCCAACTCCGGTTCGCCGTCCCAGAAGTGCTCAACTTCACTCAGCAAATGTTCGCCTCCGTCCTCTCCACTCTTCCTAGCACGCTCTTCTCCACAGGAGGTGACGAACTTAACACAGCGTGCTACGTGAACGACACCATCTTCCAGGACGCGCTGACTGCCAGTGGGCAGAACTTTAGCCAGGCGCTGAATACGTTTGTCTTGGGGACGCATGACACTGTTCGGGCGGCGGGGAAGACACCCGCAGTGTGGGAGGAGATGCTGCTCGTACAGAACGTCTCCCTCGGTCTGGATACGCTTGTCATGTCAGTATTTCCATTTTCCACTTGGCAAGTCGTTAATCTCCCTCGCAGCGTGTGGATCTCCTCCGAGGACGCTCTTGCAATCGCCGAGAAGGGGTACAAGATGATCCACGGTCCGTCCGACTATTTCTACCTCGACTGCGGTGGGGGTGCCTGGCTCGGGAACGACACGAACGGGAATTCCTGGTGCGACCCATTCAAGACCTGGCAGAAGGTAAGTCATTCCACTGCTGTAACACACACCTCGCCCTGAACCCACCCCAGGCATACTCTTTCGACCCGCTCCAGAACCTTACCGCCTCCCAGTACTCCCTCGTCCTTGGCGGCCAGCAGCTCCTGTGGACCGAACAGTCTGGCCCGGAGAACGTCGACCCCATCATCTGGCCCCGCGCAGCCGCTTCGGCCGAGGTCTTCTGGACAGGTGCGAATGGGCCCGACGGGCTGCCACGGAATTCCTCTGAAGCGCTTGAACGGTTGCATGATGTGCGCTACCGGATGGTTGCCCGCGGGATCAACGCTATCAACCTCCAGCCTGAGTGGTGTGCCCTTCGCCCTGGGGAGTGTAACCTCGTATGATGAGGGACGGTTGTGCCACTGGACACTTATGAACTTTACGAACTCTACCACACTCGTGTCGTACTATAGTGCGTACCATCTCGTAATGGTCACGTCTTGTCTACATATGGTTGCCGAAGCCGCCACAGCATGCCCGAATTGTCACGCATGCTGCTTCTTCGTACCTTTTCACAGGGCCACGCGCTCAATGCTTCTATCTGCACTTCCATATCTCTACGCCTTCTTCATGGGAGGCTTCTTCCGGTCTTCAACCCGAAACGTTCATGGTTCTGAGGGATGGTGCAGGTATTTATAACAATGCCAACAGCCTTAACCCAGGCCGCTGCGGTCACACGCCCATTCTCCCTCTCTCGCTAGCATGCACTTTCTCCTCGTCCTCTGTCTAGCACCGGTGGTGCTGGCCATCTGGCCCAACCCACGTAGCGTCACTTATGACACCTCATCTCTCATCCTCTCGCCGACATTCTGGATCCACTGGATGTCCTCTACACCGGCGCCTGCTGATATGACCGCTGCTATATCGCGTACGATATCCCAACTTTACACGGACAACTTGCAGCGCCTCGTTGTGGGAAGAGCGAACGCAGATCTCCAGGCGCTGCAATACGCCAACACGCTGCCGATGCTTCACCTGGAGATTATCGGCAACAACACGGTTAACAGTATCATGACCGAAGCGATTGCTCCTCTTGGCTCACGAGACGAATCCTGAGCATACCGGCGGATGGGACGGCCGCGATGCTCCAGGCGAACACGACACTAGGCTTGTTCCGCGGGCTGACTACGTTCACGCAGTTGTGGTACAGCACCGGAGGCGTCGCTTCCACGTATCCTTATGCTTCTTTCTTCCCCGGGGCTTCCATGGTCTATACCGTACAGGCACCGGTGATGATCACTGACAGTCCTGCCTATGTGAGCAACCCGGTGCAAAATTCCCACTCTTTCTGATTCCACGTGTAGCCGTATCGCGGGTTTCTTTTCGATACGTCGAGGAACTTGTAAGTGGGCTTTCTTTGGCATGCGGCAGATATTGACATTCCATCGAGTTTTCCGGTCGCCGACATCTATCAGACTCTAGACGCGATGTCATACGTCAAGATCAACATGTTCCACTGGCACATCACCGATTCTCAATCATTCCCTCTGACAGTCGCAGCCCTTCCGGAACTGAGTCAATATGGAGCATATTCGGCAGCACAGACGTATTCTCTGCAGGATGTGCAGGACATCGTGAACTATGCTAGTGAGCGAGGCATCGATATTATGATGGTGAGCCTTCCATGATGAGCCTGTTGTAAGTCTAACGTCATGTCAGGAAATCGACGCTCCAGGGCACACTGCTTCTGTCTATGAATCTCATCCAGAATACGTGGCTTGTTGGAACTTTGAACCATGGACCACGTACGCGAACGAGCCGCCCTCCGGACAACTTCGCTTTGCAGTCCCCGAAGTTCTGAACTTTACTCAGCAAATGTTTGCGAGCGTCCTTTCCACCCTTCCGGGGTCCGGTTTTAGCACCGGCGGGGACGAGCTGAACACGAACTGCTACGTCAATGATACCGTGACCCAGGATGCTCTGACTGCGTCCGGCAAGAACTTGAGTGAAGCCCTAAGCATGTATGTCCTTGGCACGCACGACACTGTCCGTGCGGCTGGAAAGACTCCAGCAGTATGGGAGGAAATGCTCCTTGTGCAAAATATCTCCTTAGGAATGGATACGATCGTTTTGTTCGTCGTAATCTTCTTACAGTGTCCTGCATGGCTGATCCTCCATATCCCAGGGTGTGGATATCAAGCGAAGACGCACTTGCAGTGGCTGAGAAAGGTTACAAGATGGTGCATGGACCATCTGACTACTTCTATCTCGACTGCGGGGCGGGTGAATGGTTGGGAAACGATACTGATGGGAACAGCTGGTGCGATCCTTTCAAAACCTGGCAAAAGGTATGTTCGCTAACATGGATGCTGCGCATTCATTCTGAGTACGTTTGCAGGCTTACTCCTTCGACCCCCTGCAAAATCTGACCGAGGCTCAATACGATCTCGTATTGGGTGGACAGCAATTGCTGTGGACGGAGCAATCAGGTCCAGAAAATGTCGATCCAATCGTCTGGCCTAGTACCGCCGCTTCTGCGGAAGTCTTCTGAAACGGTGCCAATGGGCCGGATGGACTCCCACGCAACTCATCTGAAGCACTTGCTCGTCTGCACGATGTTCGCTACCGTATGGTCGCGCGCGGTATCAACGCAATCAATCTTCACCCGCAATGGTGCGCGCTGAGGCCTGGTGAATGCAATCTCGTGTAGAGTCGCACCGGAAACGTCTGTACACAAAATGTAATTCACACACATTTGTTGTACAACAAATGTGTCTGCCTGCGCAGCCACCTTGAATACATCATATCTCGGTGTTTTAGTTCATCTTCTCCCTGATCCACGCCACGGTCTCTGTGCGTGCATTAAGCAGCGGATCTATCGTAGTCAATGGCACTCCCCAAGATGGAGGATATATAGAGAGAGCGGCCATGCTCAAGTAAGTGTGGAGGGGATCTGATGGTTTTTGTGAGCTTGAATCAGAGGCATGCGATATGCTTACCTGAAAACTCGCCTGCAGCTTTGGCAAATCCACCGAGCTTGAATTGGCACCGCATCAAGAATTCCGCATTGGCGTCTCGATCAACGAAGTCTGCACATCCAAGAAGCTGAGTAACAGATCAGCATGAGGGATGTACCAGTTGAGGCAGCGAACTAACTGTAAGTGCCGCTCCACACCAGAAGCTATAGCATGCGTCCTGCTCCTTCTCTATCCGACCTTGAAATCCACCCCTTTGTCTGTGGACTAACCATCGAACGGTGCGGTCCCGTTCTTCCCCTTGCAGTGGATGCGATGCCAGGTTGAGAGCGGCGACAGCACAATAGGTGGCGCCACCGTTCGCCTCGGCATGTGGAGTTTGCCCATAGCTGCCATCCTGAACCTGTAATCTATCAGATGTGTTGCTGAGTGACATACGGGATAATGTTACCCGACAAGCTTTGACATAAGCAACAGCTTTGTCCAAATCGATGCCATCCCAACTATTCAACATACTGCAAGTTGCGAGGGCAGCATAGATGATACGAATGTCTCCACCTTCCTCGCTGCCAGGCCATGGTTCAAAACTGCAGTCCACGTTGAGTATCTGGAGACGCAATGTAGTGGAGTATACATACCTGCCATCCGGAAGTTGTGTTCGTTCTAGAAAGGCAAGGACACGGCGCCGATCGAGCCGACAGAAGTCGTCTCGCAAGATAGCAAGCGAAAGAAGTGCAGTATACGTCATGAGTATATGAGGCGGTTCCTTAAAATGCACGTTATTATTGATCGGATCTCAGGGATAATTTGGGATCGAACCTTTGCAGACGCTGATGGACCGGTGAGAAATGAGCTCCCTCGAAAACCAGCGATATGCTCATCCGCTGGCATGATGAATGAGTCAGAAGGTAGGAATCTGAAGGTTGGACTTACCGATATACTGCTTCCAGATCCAACTCTTCCAGTCTTCCTTTTCGTCTGCCTTCACCTTTGTATCCAACGATGACAGAAGATCCAGGGAAGACAGAGAGTAGTAGGCTACCATCATCCTGAACGCTCGTCAGCTGCCATGCCTTGCTTAGCGGAGGATTCTTAGACGACCTCATACAGTCCACTTCTAGAGCACCACTAGGGAGACCACGCAGGGTTCGAATACAATGAGAAACATGCATGTTCGTCAGGAACGCCGGTCTGGCGTCGCGATCAACGTGTTTGACAGACATCTGGAAGGCGGCGTGGAGAACCAAGGACACAACTCGAAAATAAATAAGTTCAATGGGATCGGCAGAAGACTACAAGCATTAACAAAGACGATCACAGAAAGAGAACAAGCAGAGCATTCATCATCTCAAGCAGATATGCACGTGACAAATCAAGGACGTTAATTATCAAGAACACGACCTCCCCTGCGCAGAGGGCGTGAGATACACGGAAGCTTCTGACCCTTGATGTTGACTTCCCTAATGAGGCAACGTCATATATATACAGCCGATTACGTGTCAGGATTTGTATTGAATTCCGTCAACTATACGTGATGCAGCCATGGGCGACGACACTTTGGTCGCACGCAGAGACCATTTATTTCGGGATCCGGAATCAACGATATCAGATTGAAGGGTATCAACAGAATGCAAGGTAGAGTACAATTGCGTGACATGGTTCAATTAGGTGTTGAAAGTGAAGGTACTGTCCCGGATCTTCAGCCGTGCTGTTCGGTCGCCCGGCCATTCGAATGTTACCCATTCCAACGTCGCAGCCACAGTTATGTGCCCTGTAAACATCATGAAGCACTGTTCTCCGCAAGCCAAAAACATCGTACCTTCTTCGCCAGCACTGAAGGGTATCGTCTTGTACGGATCCGACCCTGCGTGCCCCTGACGAGGCGGCCCACCAGGATTAAATAAGCTGGAGAAGCTGGTCCCTACTTTCCAAACCATAACCACACTCTCTTCCAGCGACATGCTCACTAGCCTTCGCCCATCGGGGGAGAAGCTGCATGCCGAGACGCGCTTCCGATGAGCTTCGAGGACGTAAAGCCGAGTGGCAGTCTTCAGATCGTACATGATCACAGCGCCTTCGATAGTTCCTACGGCGAGACGCTGGACCTTAGCATTGAAGGCAACGGAGGGATAAGTGTGCACCAGCTGGTCCAGGATGATGGTCGCTGCCTGCAGAACAGCATCTCTTGACGAGGAGTTGGGGTCGAGGGACTTGACAACAGCGTCGACCAGTTTTGGCAGGCTAGGGTAGAGCACGAGTGGTTTCTGTGAACACGTCACTATGTCGCACCAGACTCGGGAAGAAATGATTACCTTTTTCACGATGAATGCGATGACGAGCATGATAGACTTGAGATGCTCCGCAGTTGGCGCGTTGACAATGTCTAGCGACACGGTAGTCATGAACAGTGCAGTGCTCGTACTCGCAATATGCAGGATCGCGAGTCTGGCCTGATGTCCTACAGTTGGGAGGGTGCTTTTCTCAAAGGTGACGGCACGTCTGAACAAGCACCTCAGGGTCTCCACAGCGTCGATGTACTGTTGCCAGATGTGGAAGCCGCGAGAGCAGAGATCGATGGCCAGAACGGAGTAGGGGCAGGTCTCGGCGTGCAAGAACAGCGATATGGATTTGGAGATGTCCCTCAGAGTTGAGGTTGAGAGGAGTGAATACCGCTCGGCGGCCAGGGTTCCTGCGATGAGCAGGGCACGAGCGCAGGCGGCCGAGTTCTGGCTAGCATCAGGCTGGACACAGGGAACTGTCAAGCATTGAGTGAAGCGGCTCCTAGAATAGAGAAATAGTACGGACGTTGGCGCTGCCAGAGCTCTGCGATACTGATCACCTCTGAATCCGCCATCTGGGAGACAACAGCGTTGAACAGTAGACGCGCGCCGTGCTGTATCTCAGCTACAAGCATTATGAATCAACATTGTCGGCTACTGGAATGGACGGACATACATGAAGGATCGTACCAGAATCGCACCAGCACGTCTAGCGATGGCGACTGGTACGCAGGCATCGTCTCCGGTAGGGAAGAGACGTAAAAGGCGATGATAGCAGTGGCATGCATTTCGAATACTGTTACCAACACGTCACTGCACATCTCGCCGGAATCGGAATGAACTCACCCTCGGAAGGTAGGCATATTCGAAGGACGGTGATTAGGCTGAGCAATAGGAAAGTCGTCGCGGTCGGGGATACTTGCCATACTGCATTTTCCTCTGAGGCTTTCACCGGACCACTAATTCTTCGTCAAATACGTGATCGACATGGATGGGCCTGCGCACCTAAACGAGGCACTAGGGAGAGCGACGCTCCCCGCCCCTATTGGCTTTTGGTCGTCACAGAGTCCGTCGACGCTCTGGTCTAGGCCATATGTGAATGATGCCGCCACGACAGGCAGGATCGTATGCAGCTGCTTGGGTAGATTATCAGGGTACTGTTTGTCCAGCGGTGGGTTGACGCCGAGATTCTGCGCGGCCAGTAGTGCAGAAATCCCTATATGACGTTATTCAGGTTCTCTTGGTGGAGGGCTGTCTTACCTGCGTCTAGTGCGACGGGTGCGCAGGGCACATCGAACAGCGGGACAGGGCTCACATCGACGCCCCTCTCCTCTGCATCCCTGTACACCTATCAGCTCTATTCCGTTCGCCTCCCATCGCCTAATCGAGTAATGAATGAAAAAAAACTCACACGATGCCCCACCCGCCCTGGTCGATCATCTCCTTCGCCTTATCGCCTTCCATGATGCGCCATAGTTCCTTGGATCTTACGTCCCACAGACGAGCGCGGTTGTTGGCGTAGAGGATTATGAGGGTATCTGTGGATAGGCATGCTTTGATGAGAGGCGATGAGGCGCAGGGGATGAGACTCGTACTGCAAAGAAATGGTCAGCGTGCCACGAAAAGAACAAAAGGTGGAACGGTGAGTGAAGCTTACAAAGTGAGAGAATCGGTACAGTCGACAAAGGCGATCGTCCCTTCTCCAGATACGAGAACGAGACCCTCTTGCATTCCCGCATAGCCATGCACGAGTTCGGCCCGCACAAGGGGGGAGGCGAACAGGATTTTCTTCAATAGGAGGTTGAGATCACTACCCGAGGATTAGGAACTGGGAGGATACCAAGAGAAGGAGACGCACGGGGAGTTCCAAACACCGACACCACCGTCATCCGATCCTGCAACGATAATCTCCTTTCCCCCCTCCAACTGGAGCACGCGGATAAACGTGACCTCTCCATACAGCCTCCTTGTGCCGGAAGTGCGTAAGCGCCCGTTGATCCCTTGGCTGAGTAGATCCTTGAGCGACGTACGGGCTATCGTTCCGTCTGCTGTGTTACGGATAAACGGGTGTGTAACGGAGATGTTGAGTAGGGGCGTACCAAATCCGAGTACGAGAGAGTCCCAATCCTGCCTGAGGAGACAAGTTGGTCGTGGGGGTTCTCCCTCCTCCGCTAATTCGGGAGTAGGGGACATTATTGAAGCGAAAGCGGTACTTGGGACAATTTTCGATCGTTCCTTGATTTCTCTAGAAGCTGTCCGTTGTAGCTGTGCAAAAAGTAGAATGAAAATTACAAATAATAATAGAAAAAAAAGAAAATGCTCTGGTTAAGTTGTGCAAAGCAATGCAGGGTCGAAAGTGACCGGGATTCCCGGGGTCTTGGATGATAATTGATCCCGTGCGCGTGGATATACTTATCGGATGTTCTTCCGTTCACTGAGGCCCCCCCGTGCGTTGTGTGTATTGCCATCATTAACACACACACCTCCCTCATCCTCTCTCTCTTTTCTACAACCATCTCCTCATATTACACCCTCTCCTCGTCAACCATCGTCAGTCAATAGACGTCCCCCAATACATCAGACACGTAACTCAACTCATTTATCATGTCTGAAATTCGCCGCAAGCTCGTCATCGTCGGAGACGGTGCATGTGGAAAGACCTGTCTTCTCATCGTCTTCTCCAAGGGCACATTCCCAGAGGTACGTCTCTCTCTATCCCCATACCTCTCACGTCTTGCTCTACCCCTCGGTAGACAAGCGCGAAGTCAATTCACAACGATGCACTAAACCCCCTATCCTTCGTAGGTCTACGTCCCCACCGTGTTTGAGAACTACGTCGCGGACGTCGAGGTGGATGGGAAGCACGTCGAACTCGCTCTATGGGATACCGCCGGTCAAGAGGACTACGATCGTCTCCGTCCGCTCTCATACCCCGACTCCCACGTCATCCTCATTTGCTTCGCCGTAGACAGCCCGGACTCGCTCGACAACGTCCAGGAGAAGGTGCTGCGCGCTTACTGCCGTAACGATACATGACTCATAACTGACTCCTCCCTTGATATAGTGGATCTCTGAGGTGATGCACTTCTGCGCGGGGCTCCCCATCATTCTCGTTGGGTGCAAGAAGGATCTCAGGCGCGATCCCAAGACGATCGAGGAGCTTCGCAAGACCTCCCAGCGCCCGGTGACACCCGAGGAGGTGCGTTCCATTCCCTACCGCTCCCATCACTATCCTTCAACACGTTCTCCCTTCCTTCCCTCATCCCTTCCTACTTTTCCGGTTCCGGCGCTAATATGTATCCGCTCAGGGCATGGCCGTCGCCCAGCGCATCGGTGCACGCCACTACCTGGAATGTTCCGCCAAGACAGGCGAGGGCGTGCGCGAGGTCTTCCAGTACGCGACTCGTGCGGCACTGCTTAACCGAAAGCAGAAGCCGAACAAGGGCAAGTGCATTATTGCCTAGGCGAGCGACGTTGGACCGTCAGCGCCTTTCCCAGCAGCTCAGTCCCTCCACCGTGGTGATTCGATTGGAACGCATGTCGTTAGGAGAACTTGGTTGATGCTGTGTGATATCAGGCGCAGGGGCGTCAAATAGCCGTGGTTGGATGATTCTTTCGACTCGCTCTGTTGTGTCGTTTCCTGTGCATCAGTGCGATGTATGATGACTCTTTTCTTATCCGTCTCCTCTCAAGCGTGCCATTCACGCGTGTCTCACGCCCGTCTTACATCTTCTATCCCATCCGGCTCATTTTCCTCTCCCTTACAACCTGGCTCGGTTTTCCCTTTCCCACTTCCCGCCCTGTGCCCTATTATCTCCCTGTCTTACCTGCTCATCTTAACACGGTTCTTGCGCCCTCTGCCCCAAATGGCGCGGAAACGTTGGAAAATGTACAGTCCTTGGCGTACACAGCTGCATGCAACACGTCATCCTCCATTCGAGGCAGTCCAGTGAGAGCAGAAGACCACCTGGGAGAAGTACGGACTGGCGCCTCGGTTCGCTGGTCAGCTCCTAGGGTTGGGGTACGAACTACTACATTGGGTAATAACAACGGTGGGCGAACAGTGGTATGACGCGTTCTCGCTCCCACTCCGCTGAATGCAGATTGCCAGCAAAACAACATTGTCTTGACACTGTTACTGCTAGCACAGGTAAGCATAATAGCGTGTAGAGAGGAGGGGGACGCGCAAGCGTTCGCCCTCTCCACCATGTTCGCTTGTGACAACGTATTCCATTATCATCAGTACAAGTTACACTTATAACGATCGAAGCAGTCTAGACCATGCAGTGCTGTAGGATCAAACAGAACCCTCTCGAGCATCACCAGCAAGCTCAGTGTCTTTCGGAGGTAGCTCAACTCCCCCCAAGCTGACATACCTTCCCTCTGCATCCCGGCTTCCCATGACCCAAAGCTCGACAGAGGAGATGTTCCATATTCCAAAGTCTGTCCAGAGGGACTTGGAGTTCGCGACTTCGTGCACCGGCTTCTGGGGATTCGCAGCTGATGTCTCGGCTCCCGATTTGGGTTCGAGTGAGGCGGACGCAGGAAGTCCGCCGGCCAGCGCAGCTTTCACTGGACCTTCATCCATCTGCTCACGGACTGTTGCTCTAGGCCTGGGAAGCGCCTCTGGGGGTAGATCCGGCGGCTGGACAGAAGCCATCACTTGTTTCATCGCTGAATACGAGAATTGGATGGGTCTCCTATTTCGCGATTTTGGCTGCCGATGCGAGGTGTTCACTATCGTTAGATGCAACTAGGTCTTCGTTAGCTTCGAAGATGCAATAGCCCTTAGAAAGGGAAAGAGGAATACGCACCTTTAGCGGCCGAGTTTCTGTGATGAAACCTGCGTCTTTGAAACTCTGGTGAATCATGCGTCCCAGAGCCCACACAGGTGCGTTTAGAGGGTCGGACTCGGGGATAGAGACGTACAACACATCAGCCATTTCTACTACCTCGACATCCCCAGGGTGTGCGATCTCAGCCGATGGGGTACCAGCTATGGATGCTGCTGTTGGGTCGGTTGGTGCTTCGTCCGGTTCGGATTCCTCGTCCTCGTCCTCGTCCTCGTCCTCTTTCTGCGGGTTTGTCGCCTCCACGCGTTCACCTTTCACCTTCCTCCTTCGCACTTTCATTACTTCCACAGCACCTAAGGCAACTTGAAGCTTCTCGTTGAGTACGAATTCGCGGATCTGGGAGCGAAGGGACTGGAGATGGGCCAGTGCTTCTGAAGGCGTCTTGAGAGGCTTTTGGTGTCCTTGCGAGACTGATGCAGGCTCTCCGATCAGAGTAGGTTCATTCGCTTGTGCGCTCTCTCCGGGTCCTTCCTGAGTCTTTGATGAAGCGATTGGTGGCTGAGGCGAAGCGTCTTGTCGGCCCGACTCTTCAACCAGCTTCTCCTCCAGCCTCTCTCCGCCCGCCCCATCCTTCTTCTCAGACCTCAACGGCATCACTCCCAGAGTCAGATGCATTCTAACTCCCGTGATGATGATACTTTTATCCAGCCCCTCGATTGGTGGTTGAGAAGCGAGGAAGGCGCGGGTGAGGTGGGCGATGTGTTCATGCAGAGCGGGATGGGTTGACTGTGAGGAGTATTAGCTCGGAAACATCCAAAAGACAGACATGTATGCGCGCCAAAGGTAGGGAAAGGACTGAGATGCAATATGAGATTAATACTGCGGTATTGAATAGGAGGCGTACAATGGCTCGGCCGAACGAAACCTCCTTTCGATGCTGGCCCCTTCTTTCCACCCTTAACCTTATCCGGTCCATTATCTTTCTTGTCGGCAGGTTCTACAACTTCTTGCGTAGCCTGAGTAGAGTGTGTATACGCGCCACGCCAGTGTTGTTCACGCGCTCTGCTGGTGTTCGTGTTTAGCTGTGCGGTTGGAGAAGACATGGTTCGAAATGAGAGCAGTGGGTGCTGAAGACGCGTAAAGCGAGGGCTTTTAACCTGTCTGAGGACGGTAGCAATCATTCACCCGGAAAAGCAGTCGTCTGAGTGCGATTTCCCGAGTCCATATGAGTCATTCACTCGGAAAAGTAAGTAAATTTCCGGTTATGACTTCAATTTAACCGAGAAAGGGGCAATCGGGAATAGGGGGAATTCAACGGCGTTAACGGAATAATATCGGCCGGAGCCGAGGTCTCTTGATGCTTCGTGTGCCTCGATGCATGAACCCCAAACGCCAACGACACACCGCACACCACCAACCCTGTCCCCACACTGCAAGTCGTGCGAGTACATCGTTCTCTCTCTCTCTCTCTCTCCCTCACTGTCTACCGTTCTCCTCTTAACAACCTGTGCACGTAGAGACTCATATACTCTGTCGCATTCACTGTATCCCCGTGCTGTCTTCTCAGTAGACGCCCAACATGTCAGAAGCTCGTTTGCGCAGAGTGCAGAAGGAGATATCAGGTACGCCATCCTATTTTGCTCAATATATGCGCCCCTAACCTACCGCACTGCCGCATCCGCTCTAGACTGCCAGAAGGATAAGCTCACCCGCATCACCCTCACGCCGATTGACAACTCCCCTTTCCACTTGGTCGGCGCATTTGATGGACCCTCCGGCACCCCTTACGAAGGCGGGCGATACGAGGTTGACGTCGTCGTTCCTGATAGCTACCCATTCCAACCGATCAAGATGAAGTTCATCACTAAGGTGTACCACCCGAATATCAGCAGTGCCAGCGGAGCGATATGTCTTGGTATGTTGCTCTTGCCACGCTTCGGTGTATGCGTTGCTGACAGTCGATGACTGTGCCTCCCAGATATCCTGAAAGACGCTTGGTCACCGGTTCTCACTCTCAAATCTACGCTCATCTCCCTCCAATCTCTCCTCTGCGATCCTCAACCCAATGACCCGCAAGACGCCGAAGTAGCGAAGCACTACCTCACATCACGCCAGGGCTTCGAGCAGACGGCGAGGCATTGGGCGCAGGCGTATGCAGGGGCACCGGTTACTTCTAGCGGAGGGGAGGACAGCAAGAAGGGCGAGAAGGGGTCGAAAGTTGACCTGGTGAGTCATGCCCTATATCATGTGATATAGAGAGAGCTGACACACTGCATGCTGCAGGTCGCTCTTGCCGGCCTGGAAGAGAAGCATGTTGCTAAATTCGAGAATATGGGCTTTGAGCGGGGGAAGATCATCGATGTGCTCAAACGGCTCAATTACAGGGGCGCGAACGTAGCCAAGGTGAATGATGAGAGGGTCGTCGAGGAACTCCTCAAGTAAGCTATAGCAGAGACGCCTTGTATGCGCCAAGGGAGGAAGGCGACAGGAGGAAGGACATACGAGGTAACCCTCCTGTTCGGCAAGGACACGCTTATAGCATGACCCACTGTAACGACCAATATTATCAATGCAGAGTTCTTCAATCGTCTACTCGGATCCCCGGATGTGCGGCGTCAATGAAGGCAGGTATTACAGCAACAGTGAGGGTATCATGCGGAGAGCGTATGCAACGTATGTACAAGGACCTCTCTAGCTTAATCGTTCCACTCGGTGCCCTCAGGCGGCCATCTCCACTCCCTCCCGGCCGTTTCCCAGACCTGCAACATGGCTGCTGCCACACGCGCATACAACTACAACCGTCATCAGCGACTGTCATCTCAGGCCACTTTATCACAACCAGTACCTACCTGAGGATTCTTCATCGCATGCAACGCGACGATGTCCGTGTCATACGTGATAGTCGTCCCATCCCAGTCCCCAGCATGAGTGTACAAATCCACAAGCATCAAGGATTCCTCTCCCTGCGGCAAGTTGCCAAACCACGCTCCGGTCCTCGCGTCTTCCATCCCCTCCGTCGCCCATTGGGGCAGGTCTGCCTGCCCGAGCCAGGAGATCAGAGGCCAGGACATCCCGTACGAGAGACCGCGGCAGTAGAGCGGGTAGCAGGTTTCTATACAGGAACCCCAGGAGGTGCCCCAGTAGACTGGGAGGGAGCAGGGAACGGGGGCGAGGGAGTGGAGGACGTTGGGGAGGATGAGGAATGTCTATGCAATGGATCAGCGTGATATATTTGAGGTGACATAGGCGCATACATCTGAGTCTGCTTTCCTGTGATGGTGACGTGGCATCAGATTCTGCAGGAGGACAGAAGAACGTGGGAAGTACTTACAGGGCAAATCTCGGCTGCTGCCCCACGGGTAACTTCGACACCCACTTCCAATACACATACGTCTTGCCCTCATTCATGTTCTCTTGTATATCCAAAAACACGATATCTCCATACATCTCCGCTTCTGTCTCTGCCATACTCTGCAGGGATGCGTCGGGACTTCGGCCAAGGATGAACTTCATCACCACCTGCTCGCTTGGCGGGGACTGGAGCGTCTGAAGCGCTCGGATGACCGCGCGCTGCTTGTGCTCCGCGGCGATAGTGAACACGCCAACGAACAACATCGGCCCAAATTCTGCATTGTCTTCACACCGATGAGTCCTTGGAGGAGGAGCGTACAGGAGCTCGGGAATCGGGTCTAGGAACATGTCCCATTTCCCTGGCTGGGAAGCGAGCATAGCACTGATGTTGACCTCTCGGGTGAGGGAGAGGGTATCGAGCCATGGGACATTGCTCCGTGGGTACTTGGGAATCGGTTTTTGGGGCCGATAGGGTGTATGAGGGTAGTAGTTTGGGTAGGGAGGCGGCCATTTCCATGGTGGTGGTTTACGCCAGTTGAAAAGGTAGAACGTAGACCAGAGGAGAACGAGAACAGCTGCTATCCCGACAAGAAGCAGTCGTGTACGCGTGTTACGCATCCCAGTTGCCGCCCAAGACGGCGTCAGGTTGGGCAGAGGCATCATCGTCGTTTCGAAAGTCCAAGCAGGATCATAGGAGCAAGAGAGAGAAGAGCGCACAGCGCCAGTCGATGTCACCGCAGTTGTCCCTTGCATCGGATGCCACGGTGATAATCAATCACAAGAGCACATCGGCCCCACAGATCAAAATTCCACATTACTAAGGCAGTGCAGAAGACAAATTTACACCCAAGGTAACCTGGGCGCTTCGCTCACGTCCGTACTTTACGGAGCACATACCACGTACTCGGGCCGATTTGTCGACGACTTGGCAAATCGATAAATTTGTGAGCATTGCAGATTAGACCAATAAACCAAGAAACGTCGTCGATGTGGTACGCCAGACGTTTTGCAACAGGAGAAGTCGAGTTTGCCTAGCCCAAGCTCTCCCAAGCTCTGGCGGAACGATGTGGCCATCAAATGAGTGTGTTAAATCTGACGTAATACAACCGACGAGGTCTTGGCGCACACATGCCTCTGAAATTCCGGAAGCAATCTTAATACATTCTTCTTTCGTTGTCTTCATCGGCGTCTCTTCAATACCTAGCTCTCGTGAAGATAACTTTTGTCGGAGTGAACTTTCCGGAATGAGTCATATTTGCATATATCATTCACCCAAGCAAGGAGATTTCGTCTTGGACTAGCTGGTCGTCTTGATAATTAACACTGGTCAATCTACCTGAGCGCAACTACTCTAGCCCAACGGTTACTAGTACCCCGTCAAAACAGTAGATATAGGGAAGCTGGAATCTTCATTGACTTGTTCCTGTGCCTATATCAAGTTTAGTCGAAGTTTCACCAGCTAAAAAAAATCAACATGACCAAACTGACGGAGAGACAAAAGTGCGCCGCGTTGGGATCTTTTAGCGGATGTCGTCCAGTCCACAATCGCGGTCAAACGCGGCGCGGCCTGTCGAGTGCAGGAGGCGCTACCCGAACGTCGGGCAATGAGAAAAGTCAATATAATTCCAAGAAATCGCGCAGATCAGGACACAGATCTCACTTGATAAACAAAAGGTGCAAGCACTTGTACGGGATTGCCCAGCATCCACTGTCTCGGTCAAAAACAGAGCTTGCAGCTTGGTTGCCCACGATGCAGAGCATACATGGAGAAAAAGCGGTCGTTGAACATACATGTGTAATGTGCTCTTCATCTTTCTCATTCCCAGGGTTCGACAAGTACTTATTTAAGGTGACGACTCGAAGGCGGGATTCTTGACATTTTTGTTTCCGAAAGGTGACTGTTGGTCGCTACAAAATTCAAACATTGCTTGTCCTCTTCACCTACCAACACCTCCAATCCTACTTTCGACGATATCCGAAAGAAATATACTTGGTCATTTATCCGGACTCTCACTACCCTGACCTGAGCCTTTCCTTCATCGTATCATACAGCTGCACCATGCACGACGATCTCAACACATCGGCTGATCGAGTGGGCTTATTCTCTGAGGCAATCGATCTCTGCCAGCAACTCAATAGCGTCCTCGCGCGAATCGGGCCGTCTCGCACCATCCCAGATGCGACATGTTCTGTTGGCGAAGACAAGACTACCTCAGAACTGCACGACCTCGAGAGCATCCTGCAACGCAAATTCTCAGCGTTGATCGAAAGAAGAAACGCGGTCCTTTCAACGACCTCAAGATTGACCGATGATCTTCTTCGCCTTATCTTCCAGCAAGGATACGATGATCTTGAAGAAAGGGTAGAAAAGGCTACTTTTGCTCGCCACGTTTCGCACGTTTCACTCCGTTGGCGTGCTCTTGCTATCCATACCGCAACGCTATGGACTCACGGGACATTCTCTTCGTCAAGGGATCTCTTCGGCAAATCATCGCACCCATGTTACCCCAAGAAGATCAACCAAAACCCGTTTAACGCCCGGCTACTTAAGAGAGCCAAAGGCTGTCTCCTTAACGTCCTGGTCAAGCTCCCCTGCTGTCACGGTCGCGGCATTCAGGACATGCTAAAGGAGTATTTCACGGTGTCTCGGGACCGCGTTTCTCATCTCGATCTTACTGTCGTGCCCACTGGATCTAATTCGATCCAGACAGCATTGCAATGCATCGAACACACCCAAAATGTTTTACGCACGTTGCATTTCACGATCAATGTCGAAGACCACCACAACGTACCCTCTGTGGTGACCAGGCAACAGATGTCACAATCTCTGTTATCAATCAGGCTCCCACGCCTTCACGAGATTAAGTTAACCAACTTGCTCCTTCCGCCTTCTGGACCGCGACCTTGGTTGGCTCTCGAACGCTGCCGGAAACTTCACCTTCATTTCTGCAGTGATGACCTCCCATTCCAACCTTCCGAAAACAATCATGTGGTAGCACTTCTCAGAAGCACGCCACAGCTCGAAGAGCTCAAGCTCATGTATACTTATCGTCGTTACTCTGAGCCATCTCCGCAATCTGCGACCAGCATCGTGGAGCCAGTACTAGTCCTGCCACAGCTGTCAAGTTTCTATTGCCGAGTGGAGGATCACAGGCATGACCCGCCTTTTGCATTTATCACCGCCCCCAACCTGGTCCACCTATCCCTCGAATCAGCCAACATGCTTGACTCTAACCATTCAAACCGCCTAGCGCGACAGATGGTAGGGAAGATTGTTGGATTTCTGCGAGCTTCGGCAGGGCAAGACGACGAACTCCCCAAGATATGCTCTCTTTCCGTCAGTGCTGGACACGGAACCCTACCACTGTCCGACCTTTACCCCCTTCTGCCTATGGTGGAATGTCTGACATTGAACGATGTCGACTCGGAGTACCCGTTGTCACGGATTTCGTTCAGCTGTCCTCGAATACTGCGAAGCCTAGGAGCGGAGCACGCTGACTTGGATGTGGCACAACAACCAGAAACACTACTTTTTCCACGGCTGAAAACACTCCGCGCAAATACTCCTCTTACATTGTACTGGCTTCAGATCCTGACCTCGTTAGCGGCCAAGCGTCGGACAGTTGGGATACCAGTTGCAACGCTGGTTGTTGCAGAGTGGCCATCCCGGTTACCGTACACGTGCTGTTTGCGCTTTCAGTATCCTAAGGGCATGGCAAAAAATCGGAAGAAACAACTTGACCTGGAGCGACAGTTGGCAGCTGAGGTGGGGAGGTTGGAATGCGGCAAATATAGGTGGTGTTGGCAGGATGGAGGAAGTTGGAAGGAGAGATAACTTAGGGAAATCCAGAGATCGTGTTAGGCACACCTTGGATGCATTGATCAGAGAATGTCCATGCACATACTTGATCGTAATGATTCAGGGCTTGCTCAACGAACTTGCCTCTTGATCCATTCGAGTTGTTTTGTGGAATTGATGGCTGTACAGTTCCTTGTGGGGTTTAGGGCCGGCCTGTTCTCTCTGCCACCTTATCAAGAGATAAATAAGAAGGGATGGGGTGCAGGTTGTTCAGTTCAACATGCGATCTTTTCATGTCTTGATTAAGTTGCCAAGTCATTGCAAACTCACTGGCTCACTTAGGGCTTTGAACCAGGTGATGAATTCTCATCTGTAAAAATGGCAGATGCTATATAGTGCTATATAGCATCTCTAGGGGTCCTAGCACCCATGGCATCATCTGGCACTTTGTAGCCTTATAGAGTCCTCCAATAGCACTGCCAGGGTCTGCTCATAGCACCCATAGCTTTCGTAGCACTTATAGGGACCCTGTGCTATTATACCTGTGTGGTTTTTACAGATGCTGGTCAGGATACCACCCAAGCATGCTATTCTGGTGCTTCATGTGATCAATCTCTGCCAGCAACTCAATGACATCTTCATAGAACTTGGTGAGTCTCATTTCATGCAGGCTAATAGCTTTTGCTGTTGAACAGAACAGCCCTATCACCAGCCACCATGGGCATATCTTGTTGCTCCCAAGTTACTGCATCTCTCAGTGATCATTCTCCATGTGATGCATGAGTTTCTGGCCCGGGAGTATCTCACTGAGATTTCTGGCTTCTTGAATTTCTGACTTCTCAAAGCTGTGGTTGGAGAAGACAGAACACATCCTCCCAAAAAGCACCTGGTGACATGCAAAACAAGTGTGTAATCTCTTTGATGTTCTCTCCACTGTAGAAATTTTGAGACTCACAGCTGTGAATCTCAATTCGAGTTCTACAGTACTTATTCTGAATCAGTATTTGGATGGCTTGGAGTGATAGATCAGGAAGAGGCTGAACACAATTTCAGCAAATCTGAGGACACTACAACACAAGAATCAGAACATGATGCAGTACAAGAGGCCAAGTGTGCTTCCTCTGAAGGGCAAGAACTCCTCTTTGCATGGTTGAAAAGACTGTCCACAAACATTGCTAGCTCAGGGCAGCACTTTGCTGCTCAGACACCATTAGCAAGGAGGTGCCAAGAGGCTGGGTTGCTGCTTGAACACATTGAGGTTGGATAGTGGCAAGACCCAAATTCCAGAGATCTTGACATGTCTCTGGCCAACCCATACATTGTCTATTCTACATTTGTAGAACTCTTCACCATACTGTTTATACCTTTTTGTTGTTGTCCAATAGATCAATGGCAGAAGTGTCCATGACCAACCATCTCTCAACTAACCCATCTCTCAACTAACCCATCTCTCAACTAACCCATCTCTCAACTAACCCATCTCTCAACTAACCCATCTCTCAACTAACCCATCTCTCAACTAACCCATCTCTCAACTAACCCATCTCTCAACTAACCCATCTCACAACCCTTTTCCAGCATTCTGTCCTACCAACTTAACTATTTGCCACATTTTCTTCCCACCTCTGCTCACAGCCATCTTTTGAGTTCAAGCTGTTCTTTCAATGTTTGTTGGGCAATGAGGAAGGGTGCTGTAATGTCCACTCAACTCTAGGCCAACTTTCACATGCTGCTTATGCATCTCTGACATGTCAGCATCACCAAGACAAGGGGTTCTGGAGCACCTCACATAGGGTTGGGGGCAGGCAATGGTGCCAGAGGTACTGGAAGCATGATAGCTAGTGCTCAGACCATTCCACACTGCAGCACAGGTGCTTAGCCATGAGTGATGCCTATGACTCACCGTTCCTAACTATGGAGCTCACATTCTGACCCAGAAAAAAACCTGGACCTCGCTGTGTTGACAGGGGGAGCATCAATTCATGCTGCAGCAATGCATAGAACTGAGATCTTGTCCTGTCTCATCTGGCCCAGTAGCTCACATGCTGCACCAGACAAAATCCTGGACCCTACTGTGAGGGCAAGGAGGCAGGCTGTGGGCACATGCTCTCCATATTCTGTCTGGTCCAGCCTGGCAGCTCACACTTTGCAGGCTAGACCTGGGACCATGCTGCATGAGCAGGAAGGCATTGAGTGCTGCCTGAGCAGTGCATAGTGCTACCTTTCTGTTTGACCTGGCTAGGGAGCTGACATCTCACCCCAGATGAAACCCCAGACCTCATCATGAGGAGGGCATCAAGTGCTGGTGTAGCAGCGCCTACTCCTTATATCCTGTCTGGTCACATGTGAGACCCAACCAGATCCCTCTCAAGGTTGCACAGTGAGAAGTGGAGGATAACTGGTGGGAGTGCAAATATCATTGATAGAATCAAAGTTGTGGCATGCATCTCTGTACTGTACAGCCAACATTCTTTAATGACATTGATAGGGACATGGGTGAGGGCTTTAGTGAGGGCAAAGAGGGTGAGACAGTGGGAGGGGAAAATACATTAAAGCATGCAGAGGTAGGCTTGGACTGCCTTGCTCACAATGCTAAGTGATCACCCAACCCAGAGGAGCATTATGCTCACATGAGTGGTCAATGCAGGGTGAGCTACTTGCTTTCTGGAAAGTGATGGCCTTCATTGTGTAGCATACACTGATGTGCAAATAGATTGTTAGCCATTAGGTGCCATGGTAAGGGTTGCTACCCTTTGTAATCTCATGGGGGCCAATCACAATGCAATGTATGCTATACATAGCATATTGTGTACTGTTGAGCAGAAGTAGTGGTACTTACATGGCAAGTGTGAGGGGTATAAGGGTAGGGACACATAGTTTGGTTTGTAGGAGCAATGGATGTAGAACACAGCCAAGCTATACCAGTCTGTCAGGGCACATATGTACTAGGAGCTATTCTATGTGAGATAGCACCTGCAGGTGATCCACCAATACTCCTTGCTGGTCCTTGCTCTGATGATGGTGCAGGCTATAATTTCAGGGGAAGCTGCACAAGCACAGAGTTAGCAGTACTCACTGCATTATGCAGGAAGGTGGTCTTACCATGGCAACCTTTGTGGTTTGCTCTGGAAGCTCTGAAACAAGCTGGGCCATCTTGTCTATGACTTCCAAGCTTTCTTTGTATGAGTTCTCCATGTTCTTCTCTATGCTAACCACCTGCAACCTGAGCTGCAGTATGGAACAGTTTAGAAGTTCTGATATATCTGGGGTAGGATCACTGAGCCCACTCAATCCTATTTACTTGTCAGATGGCACTCCACAGGCTGAAAGGACAAAGAAGGCATGTTGATTTTGACCAAGGGTAAATACATCAGGATGAAAAGGGGTGCCACAGGAATTAGTCATGCTCCAACCATCAAGCAGTGGGAACATCTCTGGGCAACTTTGTTGGCCAGGTTTAGGGGTAGCAGGGGGGGGGGGGGAAGTCCTGCAGAAAGTACTTACTTCTGGATTTATCATGTGTGATGTGTCACATGATTCCTTCATGGGGGCTGGCTGTTTGAGCTAAGGGACTCAGGTGACTGGGCTGGGTGGGTAGGCAGGAGGCCCAGAAACTGACAGCCTCTACATTTTTACATTTCATTAAACACTAGTTACAGTGAGGGATATCACTATTCTGCAGGTTGCCCAGGGTTGTGTGGAGTGGTTGGTCTATCAGGCAGGGTGACATCTGGATTAGCTTGGTGCATGATGCCATCAAAGTTTGGGCCCTTGTGGCTAGTTGGCATCTCAGCCTGGTTGCCTAATTGCCAGGTTGTCCCTCAATCTGCACCTTGTTTTGTGCACTAGGCACCAGCTCACCAAGCAAAGCATCACCAGGCTTCTGTACTGGCACTCATATTATCTTATTGCCTGGTATCACAATTGCATTGCTTCAAAACTTCCATCATTGCTATAAATACTAGTCATCATGGCAGGCATCCCAGCATCAGAATGATATACATGGGC